GTGCAGAATAATTCACACTGGAGAGAGTTATTATGTGCACAAGTACGGAGAGAACAGACGCACCATTGCATTCTGTCGAGAGACGCGTGTCGCAGTGTCTTCCCGCGGCTTCCGATATATCCGATTCCACGCGTCTTGACTTCGAAGCTCATACCGAGTCAATACGGTCACCGCGTTAACATCCTACGTGTTAATTCAGATTTAGATGTCCACCAGCACTGTGTGGCAAATGGCGCAACATTGACGTTTCGGCGAATCGCCGAAAGAGAAGAGCCATCTTGCCGCGTGGCGATCATCGATATTGCTTATAGATATTTTGTTTCTATTTTTTTTTTTTTTTCAATTGCACGTAGAATAAATATATAAAATGATAAGTTACGGAGAAAGAACAATACACGCGCGCCCGAAGTTTGTTTCTCTTGTGCGAAGGCTTTATTAGACCGAGAAGAATTCAAAATAGACATTGACGCGATTCGGCAATCACACGCTGACACGTGGACGATAACATCAATTGCTCTCGTCTCATTGCCAGAAATTCTTTAACTTCTTTAACGAGAGAGAGAGAGAGAGATCGCATACATTTTTATCTCCATCGTCCGAGCTTTTTCGCACATGTTATCGACGTAAACTCATATTTGTCAATTATCGAAGTTCGCGAAAATGTCTTTCTTATATGCAATAAAAATTATCGCATTTTTTTTATATATATCAAATCTTGTTGGGTTCTACCGAATGTTAAATAATACGCGGATTGTTAAAATTAAACACAAAAGGATAATATTAATAATATTTGTATTAATAGTATTAACGTAGTATATTTACACTCCGTGTATGAGAAGTGCAAACTATGTAACACGTTAAAACGCGGAGGAACACGCGCGTATAACATCCCACCGTTATGAGAATACCAACATTTTCCGAATTCTCAGCACCGCGCGCGCGGTAGATTATCGTCTTACGCCTACGTCCATCCCTTGCGCGAGTCGTTTCTTCGAGTGCCGAACCGATGTTTCACCGTCTCTTATTATAAGTAATTTCCACGAATTTCGCCGCATAAGGTGCGACATCGTGCGCGCTTACATAGGCTGTTCGAGAGATCCAATTTTGCCGAGCGATTTCGAATATTGTGAGACGCGCTCTTTTTCCCCTCCACAAAAAAAACATCGAAAGTCGCGCGTGTACGAGCTTCGATCAAGCTTCGTAGACAAGTACGTGACCGAAGACGCGTATGCGAGGGACGTTACGTGCGAGCACACACGCGACACACGTGTCTCTCTTTTTTTTTCTCTCTCTCTCTCTCTCTCTCTCTCAATGTTTATACAACATGTCGCGCAAAATTGCGAAAAGAAAATGAAAAACTCAAGAGCTTTCTTATCGTCTCTCCGCACATACTCTTGTCGTCCTCGAGACAAGAAAACATCAGAAAAGTCGCGCGTTAAAAAAAAAAGTGTTTGTCGGTAATTACGCGTTTCGCCAAACAGAGATAATCTAGGTCATAGAGCTTATCGCACGTCTGCGTTGTATCTCCGTTGTGACGTTGAAGAATTTGGGCAAAGTGCAATTTTCGCGTTGCAGGTGCGCGCTTTCTGCGTTCTTTCCGTTTTATCGAAAAAGACATGACAAAACAAAGAGTAACACCAGTCGCTTTCGTCGCGGTGTAAAAGACCAGGCCAAGTGATATGGGAAAAAGGTATCCCCAGACGATCGAGTATTCGCACAGCGTTCGCATTGATATTTCGAATAGCAGTCGCAATCAGTGACTCACATCTATGTGGGACGTTTCCTGTTTCTTTCTCTCTCTTCCTCTCAAAAACTCAATTTGTCTTTTCTCCTCAATTAGTTTTCGATTATCTCTCTCTTTCTCTCTCTCTCTCTCTCTCTCTCTCTCTCTCTCACTCTCTCTGGAATTAAAAAAAGAGAAAGAGAATAATGTCACTTGGCGCGTTGTTTGAAAAATCTCGAAGATTAAAGTCAGACAGAATTTTAACAAACGGGTTATCGCTTTCCCAACAAAAAGTGTTGAATTAGATCGATCGCGATAGAAGATTAGAGCTGATTAGAGATACGAGAAAAAAAAGTACTTTTTATCGCGCCAAGTGTGAACTTGTCGCGGGAGAGAGCGAAGTTCGAGACCAGAACTTGTGTGTGAGAAAAAAAAAATAGACACACATATGTGACATATATTATATCTCGATAGCGCAGAGTTCGATTAATTGATAGCGCATATACAAAGCACCGAGATATCGGGAAATCCCGCACTTTTTACGGGACAATTAAGCACAAATAAGCTCAAGTGTCAACTGCGTTTCGTACAGGCAGTTAAACGAAAGTTAAAATCGCGCGAAACAACTTCGACAACGAAATCTCATTGAGAGTTTCAAGAATATATTAGACGATTCACAGAATCTCACGCGGGTGAGTTAAAGTGTTGCGTTGAAGCGCGCGGTTTTGATAAACGTCCCGTTTTGATAAACGATCGCCAGCGCGTTCAATGAGTATCAATTCGTGAGTCACGCATTAGTATTTGCGATTTCAAATGCGACAGATTGATAAAGTGATTGATAAAATGAAGCATCGCATGGCGACCGACACACGGACAAATTTAGAAATTGGAACAGCACATCGCCGATGTGCGTTTCGTTCGCCGAAATGGCTTAGCGGCTATCTTCGGGGAGAGAAAGAGAGAGAGAGAGAAAGCCGCGCAACTGCCGTTTCGCATCGTGGAATTAATCAGAAAAAAAATGATAATCGAGGAATTCCTTGCACGATTAGAATTAGCTCCGAGATAGCTCTGACATCGCGGTTTTAATTCGCGATCGAGAGTTAATTAGTTAGTTACGCAGATGTAATTAAACATTGCGCAATTTGCCGCCAGTCGTTGTCGACGATTGCAAGTTTTGTTTAAGTGACGAAATAAGCTTCAGAAGAAATTCTCAAGGATTAATTTGCTCTTAATTTGACCCTAAAAGCCCAGATTCAGTGGTGATAATGGAAATGAGTTGTAGAAATTTTTGTCTTTTCAAATTTTACGAAACGTTTCGATCTTCAAAACATTTCTACAACTCATTTTCATTTTACCACCACTGGACCTGAGCTTTTAAGGTCAAATTAATCCTTGAAACGTTTTTTCTAATGTAATTACGTTTAACACCTGTTACAAAAAAAAAAAAAACGATTCGTCAACTTTGTTCTTGTTATCGGCAAGTTACGACGTTGTGCGATTATGTCGCGCGCAAGTTACACAATCGAATATAATAATCGAATTACGCGATATGTACGTTTTCCCGATAGAGCCAATAACTGAACGATGATTGCGCGTAATATTAATAGAGTTGACTTCAAGAATAAATCCACAGTCATCGAAAATAGCTACCGAAGCGATCGCGCGCGCGCGCTCGCGCGTCCGCAAACAGATCGCGGAAGATTACGAGTAAACTGTCATAAAGTCTCTCTTTCCGTCTTGTTTCCTAGTATCCTAGTATAGGTATTTCCCTCCGCAAGTAAGTTTACCTTTACGTCAGCGGCATTATGTGCGAGAGCACACGTATGATGCAAGATGTATCGCAAAAATAAGAGTGTGTCTGTCACGTGTTCCCGCGTGTCTCTCTTTGTGGAGGTTGCAAACTTTCCGAAGATTATCATTTAAGCGCTTCTTAATTAATTGGGAGTTTTTAATTGCAACTTTGGCAAAATATACGTGTTCTTTTGTGAGTGTGTGTATGTGTCGCTTTGTGCGATTAGCATTGCGCATCGAATATGTAATAACAAGAATTAATAATAACAACGAAGATAAGACAAAGTAACATGTGGAAGACGCGATTTATTTCAAAATAAATTATATCGGCGAAAGACGACATTCGCGTTAATTTAATTAGGAACAATTATTGAAATTTCAAAATGGAACAATGTTCAATTTGAAAAAAAAAATATAAAGAAAATAACACGCAAAGAGAAAAAAAAAGGATCTTTTTTTTTTCCAGTAGCTTTTCAAGGAGTAAACATTTTTAGTGAGTAGATTTTATGCATGTGTTTATTTCTTTATTTTTTCATTTAAACAATCGAATTTTTGTCGCTGCGATCATGTTGTCACGATTTCTCGATTGCTTCTTTCACGAGAGAAGACGAGAAGAGCCTTGTTGCCCTTATTAATCTTTCGTTCTTACTCATCCTCCGTGTGTATCTACGTATGTCGCTAAGAAAATATTATACGTGAAAAACTTGGAAACTGACGAAGAAACGGATGATTCTCTCTTGTCGATCGTCCTTTGTCGCGTCGTCTATAGAAAGCTGACACAAAATTTCCAGAAAAAGTACAAGAGCTTTGTTCTTCTCGGACGGCGACGTGGATGCGCATTGGGGCAATCGACGCAGAATCGAGCGGATGCCATACTACAACTAATTTATATATACATATATATTGCGCAAAGAAGCTAATTAAAGTTTTTAAGTATACACGCGGGCATCGCGTAATTAGTTTTGAAGTACGTCGGAAGCATCCGGATAATCACGAGTTCTGGAAAATTTAAAAACGCGCGGAAAGAAGAGCGGAAACGAAAATTACGACATATTAGAAAATACGTTTTTAGCGTAACACGTTTTCGGAGAAAAAGAGAGAGAAAGAGAGAAACAGAGAGAGTTTACGGCGCGACTATTAATTCTTCACTTTGCATAATTATGCATTTAGAACCGTGTCCTCTCTCTCTCTTTTTCCCTCTCTTTCCGATTTCTTAATTATACCGGCTCTGAGGAGAGACTGGAGTGATGAAAAAAAAAAGCGCGCGACTTTACGATCGCGACAAAAAAATCTATCGAGCGCCACGATCAAGTAAAACAATTTTAGGGATAATTACATATGTACAGATATATATATATATATATATGTGTGTGTGTGTGTGTGTGTTTTAATAAGTACAACAAACTACGTTTCGGAGAAAAAAGTCGATTTAGAGATTTAGAGCAAAAAAGATCGAGAAAGAGAATTGATTGTACCGCGTGTGTATGAACGTGAGGGTGGATCTATGTAATGGTGAACTGTTAAAAGTGGGAGCGATCTAGTTGAAGCAACGGTGGGGATAGGGAAGCCGACAACGCGCCGGTATATATGTCGATGCAGCCAAGAGTATAGGTACAGTTCATCAGAAGACGAAACCTGCGCAAGAGGGTGGCTACAGAGCGAAGACTACAGCGCGAGATCATATTCAGAATTGATACAGTCAGTGATAAGAGAAACTTGATCTCTTTAACGAAAGAATAAACGAAAAAAAAAAAAAAAACGTGGAAGAGAAGTGTGTGTCGACGAGCCGTGTTGAAAATCCGTGCCGGATAATTTGCAATCGTATCGGCAATTAATTTCGCCAATTCGTTTTATCGTTTCGATTTCGTAAATTGACTGTGGTGGTAACACGACAATGAATCTATCGAGCGGCTCGGCGATTTTATGCGTTCTTCTCATAGCGCTCCTGTCGGAAACGACCTACGGAAGACCGAACGAATTGCATTTGAGGTAATGATTTATTTAAAAAAAAAAAACCACTTATTTAAAAAAAAAAATCACATTAAATCGTTATTAAATTATTCTCGCATTGTGTTTGAACACGCGATATCGTCCTCCCGGTTTCTTCTTCTTTTGCAACAACGAAACAAAAACAACCTTACCGGAAAACACTACTGCCACTGATTATTCGCTTCCTCTTCTTATCGGCGACATCCGCATTGCGAGATCTTCTTAGATCCGCGTCGATCGACGTTTCGCTACATATGTAATTCAACACAGCGATGAATGACGACACCAGTATGCAAAAAGACAAATCGAACTATCTTAATTACCCGTGGACGAAGCGTGGCCGACTTATTTTTCTGAAACCTTCGCGACGATAACGCGCGCGTTGAAACACACATAGCCGTTGCCTTGCCGCACGCGGCTCGCTCCGCGAGAGAGATTAGCGTCGCTATTGAGCCGATGAATATGTTCTTTTTGTCGTCTATACATCGAGAAAAACCATACCGCGCCTTATATACTCGCGCTCGCTCGCCATCGATTAAAATGAATCGAGATTTGCGTAATACAAGTTTTTTTTTTTTTTTAAGAAAGCGGCTCTCTCTCCCGAGAGACATAAAGACTTTCTCTCAACCAGTTCGTTTGTGTGTCCGAAACTATTTCGTTGCGTACCGATTTGTTTCCAGATCGAGACGCATCTCCGATCAGAGACTCGCCGAACTTGAAACCCTTTTGGCGCTTCAAAAAGTGAAGGGCGTCGTGGTTCCCGTAGGACTCGGAAAAGTGGACCCAGCCATTATGTAAGTTTTCTCAAACCTCAGAAATCCTCACACCAATTACGACGATCGTCTCATTTGTGTTCATATATTATTGCTTCTTTGAATATCTTCCTAAAAAAAAGAAAGTCAAAAAACGTTAAAAGAATCAAGCGAAACATGACCACCCGTAGTTTCAAGATTATAAAACAAAAAACAAAATTGTTCAATTGGTCAATCAGATGTGTCACAACTGTTATCGTTGCATCGTCATAATAGACAATCGCAATCGCGATGAAATCGGTCATATTACACGAGATAAGAGTGACACGTACCTCCCTCTTTCTCCTTTTCCGAGAATTCCGTAAATCTTTATACGCTATCTTTCACTCGAACCTGTGCATATCGTTGCCGGGCGTGCGCTGTACTTTGCGCGGAACATTATCGCGTCTTCTTATCGTTGTAGCAATTATTCAAGTATTCGCAATTACATTCCTTTACTCTCTCTCTCTCTCTCTCTTTCTCTCTTCTTTCGCGGAACAAGAGTGACTTGTGAATATACGCGCGCAATGTAACGTTACACTACCGACGATCGATTTTAATGAAACAGGAAATTTGTAAGAAGAGAGAACGGAGTAGGTACTTCCGACTGCATGCGCAAAATTGTAAGCGACAACGTCAGTTGAATAATACGGAGAGAAGGAACTGGCGGAAGAAGAAAAGGAGAGAGCGCGATCGAGAGCGAGCGGAAGATAAACGAGAAGACGAAATAAGTCAATGGTGGCAAATGGAACCTCTAACTAGGTTACTTCTTCGCTGAAATGCTTTGTGAATAAATTTCTATTCGCTATGTTGTTCTTACTCGGTCTTCTTCGAACCGCGGATCTCTCTGTGCGCGAGATCGCTTACACAGACGTCGCGGCGCGTTTTACTCGTTCCTGTGTGTGTAAATTAATTGACAATATTTATAACGTCAATTTTGCCCGATATGAGGTCGTTTACGTAATTGTGACGAAGTACGAGTGTCGTCGAATAATAATTATTTAACGCAAAGCAATCTCTCACGATGATTAACGAGATAATGCGTAAAAACTTGTTCTTCTGATCGATCGTTTTTTTTCTTCACGTGTACAGTGCACATGTAATTAAGATAATTTAACGAATCTTCCGAGATAATTTTCTTTTTGTTTAAAAACAAAACAAACAGACGAAAGTTTCCAGCGAAATATTAACATTTCAATAGAACATTTAATTTAATAAGATAGAATTAACAAACTAACAACGGCACACGAGAGAAGAAGAGAAAGGTAGGGAAGAAAAGAGTGACCAAATAATCGATTGTTCTTCTACTTGTTGCAACAAGCATGGAACAGTAGTAGGAAAAAAAAAAAAAAAAACGACAGAACTTGAAAAATACTTTGACCTATATAAGCGAGATAACAGTCTTCTTTCCTCACTAACAGCTATTATTACGTGAGATTTCTTCTTGCGCGTATCTCAAGCGACTCCGTTCGTTATCGCGCGATGCGGGGGATCAATTAATTAAGTCTCTATAAACAAATTACGTGGCAACAACAGATATAGCCACGCTCTCGTCTTGGAATTTTCACGATTTGTATAACATCTATTTGCCATCAACATACAGATAAAATCGTGATATGTATGTACACATGCACATGTATGATGTATTGCGCGCGCGCGTACAATTAGTTGGCATTAAATTTTCACTAACTGCGTCATTTTGACTGTTGCACAAAGAAGCGTCATCTTTTCTCATCGTTTCGCTTCACGAGCTCAAGACGTGATGACACGACGCGCCGCAAATCTATCCTCGATAACGTGACACCCGCCTAACGTTAAAAAAAAAAAAAAAAAAAAAAACACCAAGTGTAGACAGAAACTCGAGTGTGATTCAGCGGTATTATCGAAAGTGACTTTTTGTCATTTCGCGCATTAACGCAAAACTTGATGCTGCATACCATCGAGTTTGCGCACGAAAACGATCGTCGGAGGGAAATAACGGGATGAATTAATCGTCGATCCGCATCGTGTTTGCTATTGTTGTTTTATTGTTGTTGTTGCAGAGGTCGCAGACGAAGATCCCTCTCGGATGGCATCGCTCAAGACAAATTGCAAACCGTTTTGGGCTTGCTGCGCGTAGCCCGAGACGCGGAGTCAATTCCGGAGCATTCCGAACAAATTCGTTCCTTGCCCTGGGTAAGTCAGATGTGACGCGCGCGCGTACATAATCCGCGTATATGCGCGGTAAATTATACACGTCGCAATAAATATAATATACATTACGCGGATGAACATGTTTATTTATGAATGAGCACATGGTGCGTGTGATGATCGCGCGCGTGTGTTCGCACACAGTGACATTTGTTTTTTATATGTTCAACGCGATTACGTAAAAGCGATTACACGCGCGCGTCGACCGATAGGTTTATTATGCGTCACCGCTCGCGCAATAATTTCGCGACAATGAAAGATCGGCGAGGCGCAAGGCGCCGAAGCCCAACAAGACTAATTAGCGACTTTCCGACTTCGGGCGGAAGACGCGACCGCGAGATAAGCGACGCGTCCTGCATTTTTGTTCCTGTCCTACGTGTCACGCGATCTTGTCTACTTTTGTTACTTCTTTCTTCGTCGTTTTCAATCGACATCATACGAGAGCAAATAACACAGGAGAAGATCCGCAACTTGAGATTTTATTACTCGTCCGGTCTGTAACTCGCGCGCGCGAGTTGTCGGTTGAGATTCGTCGCAAATCCACCGTCTCTCTCTCTGTAGATTGAAACTAATTCCATTTTCCGCTATTCTAATTGCAGAAAGAAGACACGCGGGAGGAACAGTGGGAGTATTATCAGTTGATTTAATTCGGAAGCACACTCTGGAAACGAGGCGACAGTTAGGAAAGGAGGAAGAAAAATAAATAAATTGCGGAAGAGGGAGAGAGAGAGAATGTGTGTGAGAGGAGAGAAAGAAGTGACGGAGTGAGTAAAGAGGAAGTAAAATACTTAAGAAAAAGATACACCTATTCACACACACACACACACACACACATATACAGAAATATTTAATTGATCTCTCACCTCCGTGATCCGTCGACACAACCCATTACTACGGACCAGCACTCCGTCCGAGCGCTTCAAGAGTTCTTTATATATATATATATACATATGTTTAAACTTTTACGCTTACGTAAACAATTAAAATAATTATCGGAGACAAGAGATTTACGGGACGAGAATATATGAACGTTACACGCGCGCGACGTTAAAAAAGAAACGATGCGAAAAAACGCAACAGCGGGAAAGATATGTCGGAGGTGTAAGAGCAAATTAACGCGCTAAGTACACGATTATAGTCTCGGGAGACAAAAACAAATGGCGTGTTCAAACTTTGTTATTTAACTATTCGAGGCTTAACGCGAGAACAGTATTTTACACGTTGATGTTGTTTCAGTATTTGCGACACTTTTTCGCGTCCCGCAAAATGCATTCTCAAATGCTGTTTCGCTTTTTTTCTTTTTTATTTTTGTTTGTTTTTACTCGATGGTCGGTGGCGCTATACGAGATACTTAGATCGTAATTTCGTAAGAAAGCGCGAAATCATTCTGACCGGCCGCTTTCCCGATCGCGCCGGTTTCTTCCGAGAAAACACATGTAATCTCAATTACTCACCAATCATTCAACCTTGAAAGAAAGCTGTTTGCGCTTTCGATTTTTTTCAAATGTGGAATCTTACGAAACGAATCTCAAGTGCATCGTATATAAAAATTCTGTTCGTTTGGTTTTTTTGTTGTTTTAACGCGAAGTCAAATGAAAGTCCACCACCGAACGATTAGTTCGACCATTTTCGGTTTGCAAGACACGAATCGGTTTTATTAATATGTTACTTACGTATGTATCTTCTCACAAGTGTGCAATAATGACCGATCAAGATCGATCGCGAGAGTCTTGAACTCTTTGTATCGTCGCATAAGCGCGGCACGTCTTTTGCATTCCATCTCGGCTATGTATTACGATTACGATTTTTATTTAGTTCTTTTTTTTTATTGCAACATTTATAGTTATATAAAGATGAGGAATTTACGTCATACCAAAGAAAGAAAGTGTTACTTTGATCGATCGATATGATTTTTCGCGAGTGTGTGACCATAGAGTGTGTTGAGCGTGAAACGAACGGCAAGTTGAAGTTTGATACGAGATTATTATTATTGCATAATTGCAGCGGGGAAACTATCAGTTTCAATTCTGTGGGCGAATTTTATTTATTTGATTAGTTTTAATTATTTAGAAATTTATATACACATTGCGTTTTAAGTAATATTTAGTTTTACTTGAGAGATACACAATTGCGTATCTCTCTCTTGCGAGAGTCTGCGTTCCTTAGTTACTACGCGTAATTAGTAGTTACCATTTGTAAGATATGTTTATTTATATATTTATTTATTTATTTATCTTATTTATTTATTTATTTATTGAATATTGTGACGACGTTCTCACAGAATGTCTACGCGAGCGAGTCAATTGATTCTTTTTGCTACATCAAGCACAACTCTGCACATTTCCTCTTTCCCATCTATCGGACATGTCGTCGGATTACTTTGAAGAAAACCATGTATACGCGATTGTAAATGCAATAAAAATAAACAATGGGTTATTCACGCAAATTGCTTGTGTTGTCCCACCTGCTCTTTCCTCTCTCTCTCTTTCTCTCTCTTTTCGTGAAATGAAACACCGCGTTCGTTGTTCTCCAAAGTCGTACAACGCGGCGGGAAGACGCAAAGACGGGTCTTAAAATCAAAATTTATGGAAGATATTGGATTACAACTCCCTCTACAAAGGCATAATGGAATTATACCCCTCTCTGTCGGTAAATACAGAATTCTTCGGACGTAATTAACACATGTGTTAACAACATATCGGTGTTACATGTGCGACTTTTGTTTCGTGCGATTCGCAATCGCTAATTCACATGGCGTTACGTTACAATTGGCGAAACGTCGGCGAATTGCAATTCGCAGTTTTGATTTCGACCGATTCACTGCGAGAATCGGTTTACCGAGACAAAAACATCGACAATCCGATTTTGTGCCTATTCTCCATTAGCCACTATTGTAATTGTGACAACTTGTTTCGTTTTAACAACTGGTTTGTGTAAAGGCACGGAACATTTTTCAATTGGCACGTAATTGGCACGGTGTCGCATCTTGTTGAAAATATCCCGTACCGGGAATTGTTCGACAATGCTCAATACCGCTGTCGGACCAATGATACTCCCATACTACTTACGGTATAGAAAGCAGATAACGAGAATGCGCACGTGATTAACATGTAAAAAAACCACACGCACAGTCAATATCGAATTCACATTACGTTAAATCAATATTGTTTCAAAAAAAAAAAAAAAAAAAGAAATTTTACGGGATAGAGAAGGAAATTTAAATTGTAAATCTTTTCAAGTCATTCAACTCCGAGCTTATCGTTCGGTACTTTCGATTGTTGTTTAACATGTGCGACGTTTAATGTGTCATGAGAAACGTGACGAAAACACATTTCGTAATTGCAATTTGCCATTAATGAAAAATTGTATGTAACCGCCGAACTCATGTGAACTTGTTTGGCAACATATGCGGCCGAACATTGCCGAACGCTTTTATCAGGTAGATATAAAATAATGACTGATGATTTGTGTGGGTGAATTTCGCAATAGGTCGAATCATGCGTTTATTTATCGTGCGACATTTCGTTACGACATTTCGCACACATACACATGTCTGTAAAGTACATATGTGTCGCGCTTCTCTTCTTTTCTTGGCTTTTTTCTCTCGACTAAATTTCAGTCAATGTCATCTGTCACTCCGACAAAGCGCGTCACATAGACTTATGAAATTTGCATTGATTAATTCGTATCGTTATAGCGATTTGATTTAACGGAAACACACGCGGAGTAAATTTTTATCATCGCAGCGTACAATGACAGCGTTCCCGATTTTCGTGCAAAATTATTGCGAGTCTCCGAGAAAGATTATATATTTCAACGTGCGTTTTCAAATTTGAGGGAAATAGTACAAAAAAAAAAAAAAAAAAAAAACGTGTGTGCGCTTTGTCTCGTGATTCTCGTTTATTTGCAAATCAGAAAATAATGTGCGTCACACATGTTACATTATATTTCGTCATGTTAAACGCGTATCTCAGTCACGCTTTCGTTTTTAACGCCACGCGATGAAGTCTGACGATTAAAATGAAAGATCCATCACTTGCCGGAAGTAAGAAATAAAAAAAAAAAACAAAAAAAAATAAAGAAAAAAATGATAACCCGTAAGCGTATACATAAACGTTTCGTAGCAGCAATGTGGTTTCGTAATGACGTACAGGCGGAATATCGCGTGGGGATTGTCTACTGTTGTAATACACACATATATATACACGCTATGCCAAAAATCTAATCGCGAAAAAAATGAAAAAATTCAAGAAAAAAAATCAAAATTCTTCTTAGATGTAATTTTTTTCTTTATGCGTTAAAAATTTATCGAATTTGTTCGTATGATGTAACACGGTAATTTATACGTCTTTTATCGGATCGAGCACATAAATTATATATACATTGTATCTGCGCAATCAAAGTATTTTATATCAAAATAAGGTCAGAGGTCCAGTTCTTGTGAAATTGTCGAATTTATATATTTCGTCTCTTTTCCAGCCAACGAATAGTCGCAATACATTTAATAATCAAATTAAGCTGAAAAAAGAGCATTTTTTATAGCACTTTTTTTCTCAAAACAATAAAATTCTATCATTTTCTTCTTTGTTTTATAAAAAAATCACATTTGCACGCGCCCGAGGCGACATGCAAGAATATACGTGTCGGAATAGGAAAATCCGCACTTTCGTAGTTATAAACCCGGAATTTCTGATCGGGACAGAAAAAATGTATCGTTTGCAGAAACTTGAAAAGTTTCGTAATAAATATGTTATGCAAGACTGTATATTGATAAAAAAAAGAGAGAGAGAGAGAGAAGTAAAAAACACAGTGAAACGTGAACAGTGCGTGAAATGTAAATTGTACAACTTTCCTTTCCGGATTAATTTGATTCGAAGAAATCACGAAGATGTCAGTAATGAAATCTGTAAATTTGATCGAAAAATATCATAGAAATTCTTCTCGACCGACCAAAATGCACTTTTCTCGTCTAAAATAATTCAATTCGAGATGTAATGCTCTCTTTTAGAAAGAAATTAAAATACATTTTTTTGTGCGAAATCTAAGACAACTCGTTCGCTTTCGACTTCAGATGAAATTGTAAGTCATAATCAATCGCTCGCTTAGAGCGATATGATAAAATGTAGTTGGGAGAAATCTCTGAAAGAGTAGGGTCAAAATTGTGCAAATGTGCATTGTGTGTGTTGCACACAGGATGTTTATAATATAGACATCACCGAGCGAGACATCGGGTGGTCAAAAGCCGCTTAGCTTTATACTTGATATTACCATCATCACGTGTGGTGGGGAGGATAAGGATACACCCTCCATATATACGCGATCTCGATCGCTACTTCGACTTAATAGTTTACATACAACGTACGTTGTAACGAAGAGCGAGCGAAGAAATCTTCGAAATTCCGTTGTGGCTGCTTGCGTTGGCGATCACACACCAGTTCGAGAAGAGAGTTCGCATTTTGTTTTGCGCGCGCGCGCGTTCTCATCGGCGAACAGAACGATTTCACTCGCGTGTTGGAAGAAAAATGAATCAATTGTTCACGGCGGTCTGCGTCCTCATCTGCGTCCTGTTCTGCGGCTTCGCTCACGGACGTCCTGCAAACGACAACCGAGGGTAAAATCCAAATTAGATTTCGTACTTCTCGCAAATTTTACAATCAATTGTTTCACATATCTTTTTGTCTTTTTCTCGAGAGACTTCTGTTCTCAATGTATTTCCCGTGTGTTTTTTTGGCGCGCAATTCTTGTTGGCGTCTCCGTTTTATCTTTTCAACGCGCATGTTGCGCGTTAAAAAATTGCAAGTGATATTGGAGATTAATTACGTCACATTAATGAGCTGAACGATAACACAAAATCCTTGTGAGGTTCAAGTGTGTTGCTCGCTGCGCAACAACAAACCATAGAGATGCGCATATCGCATATATGCATACTTCTCTCTCTCTTTCTTTCTCAAGAAAGAAAGAAAGAGAGAGAGAGCGGAAAAGAAATACCCAAGAGTTTTCGATTTATTTAAAGTCGTTATCTTTCACGATATCTGATTTTTGTAATAGGTCGGACTATAGCATGTTGGCGGCACGTGCCCCAAAGCCGGAAGATTTCTTGGACTATGAGCAGAGTGCGTTTTCAACGCTTCCGTTTGGGAATTCGCTGATTCCGCCTAAAATGTAAGTCGGATCTTCGCGTTTTTTCTTGTTAGGTTTTTTCTTTTTCAACAAGCAAAATTATAACTACGTCGAATGTGAGCGGAGATAGAGCGTTAACGTAATTAATTTTCGCAGACGTCAAAGGCGACAGTCGGATCAGAGACGCGCGGAGCTAGAAACGCTGATGACATTGTCGAGAACGGTCAAAATCGGAGCCAAACGAACCAACCGACACTTGGACATAATGATGATGTAAGTTTCAAAACGAAATCTTTTTGTAAAACCCAACAACAATTCCCATGTCTTTGTGAGATACTTCAATTTGAAAAAAAAAAAAATGCCAAAATATAAAAATACAATAAAAAATTATATACGATGACGTTTACAGCGGACGACGAAGACGCGCCGCGTTGAACGAGATTGGCACCGAGCCGGCGTTCGTTCGTCGAATCGACGAGCCGACGAAGCACGACGACGACGGTGACCCCACATATTCATTGATCAGGTGAGCGTTCGCCCCCCTCGCGTAAAATAGTATACACGGTAGTAGTAAAACGTAAAAGAACGTTGAAGGACGCGCGACGTCTTCTTCTGAAACGCGCGCGCCGCGTTTTCTCTCGCATGCGTAAAACGCGCTCTGATAAGTACGTAGGTCATAAATTGCGTAGGTCATAAATTTGTTAATGTTAAAGATCGAATATATATACTCGCTGAAAATTCTGTGATGACGCAAGAGAACGAGTATATCAAGCAGCATTGATAAGACCTTGATACAGTCGCACATGTATATATGTATACGTCTAGAATATATGATTCTCCGCGATCACGTTCTCTCTCGATTCTTATCGTTTTGCGCGCGCGACATGTTTCGCAATTTACTTCGCGATTTGCATCAAAAGAAGCGATCGATCTGTCGTCTTTGTGCGATTACATATTGTCATCGAGAGATGCGTAAATGAGAGAAACAACATTCAGATCTGATTGCATAAGAATTTCGCGCGCGTCGCACGTGTTTCACTCCGATTTCTGATACTACCGATGTGCGTATTATCATTTCTTTTTTTTTCTCTCTCTCTCTCTCTCTCTTTATTCGATTTTCTCTCTCGAACGCGCTGATGTAAACCGACTTCGAACGCTACTCATTTCTCATTGATACGTGCGTTTTGATTCGCTTGTATATATCAGCTAATTAAATCGTTTCAGCTGAATGAGGCCCTAACGACGTTCAGCTAACAAAGATGTGGACATTTTCACGTTTCACGACGAGGGATGAGCCTGACACACGGAGGAGGAAACATTCTTCATGCGTGGTCTCGGAAACAAGCGTTCAGGACTCACGAAACAAAAAAAACAAAAAAACAAAAAAAAACAAATTAAATGTCACGTACAGAAGAAGAGGGCGTAATCGCGCGAAGGGAACATCCGTAGAATATTTTGTATAGTCTCGTTAGATCTTTGATGTACGTATTCGATCGACGGATTTATTTATGTATTTATTTATTTATATGTTTGCTTGTAACAGACAAAGAGATTTTATTGTTTCTAATAAAAGTTGTCATTGTAAACCGTCAATGAGAAAGAGAAAAGACAAAGAAAGCAACTTTCGTATCTGTGTTTAACTCACGTTTAATTGCGCGTAACACTCTTGGTTCATTGGCCTCGATCCCGCTACGTATCGTCCATCGACGCTCGCTTCTTTTCCTCGCACGCAGAACAGCCGGCTCACCCACGTCTTCCGCGTTTTTCGCTGCACATCTCTTGCGTGTATTTTTCCTCCCTTCGTAGAGTCGAGAAACAACAAAGTCGCGGTCACTTTTTGGCAATAAACGGTAGCGTTCGCGGCGCGCAAGTAATGCGCGTTGGAGAGCGGCCATTGTTGAAAATTTAAAACCCGCGACTAACGTCACGCGACTAACGTCACGCGACACGAATCGATTCTCGAGACCGAGCGAGATATGACATATCGATCGAGAATTCGGTCGATTTCTCTCGCATCACATCGATATGTATACACCCGATCGTGCGACGTGTATATCGTTTTCTTGCAATTATCGATCGATCACGAACAGCGAGCACCGTGACGAGAGAGGTGAGGCTGGACGAGAAACGAAGCGAGACGCACAGAGCGCCGAGAGACGATCGTCGGGAGAGACGTCGAGAGGAAGAGGAAGAGAGAGAGAGAGAGAGAGAGAGAGATAAAAAAAAGAGAGAGAGAAAGAAAGAGAGACAAGTGCTCGCGCGAGACGAGAGTGGCGCAATGGTAGCTGCTGGCTTTGCTGCTGCTGCTGCTGCTGCTGCTGGTATTCGTTGCGGCTTCTAGCGAAAATTGTTGTCGAATCAAAAGGGCGTGTGTGTTAAAGATGCATCGGAGCGCCCGGACTCGCGGCTCGTTCGTTCCGGTGACGCTCCCAGGAATGACGAGTGCGCGTCCAGCAGCGCGACGGTGCGATCCAGTGGCTTAGTTACGTTCGGTGTGTGAAATCCCCCCCGTTCGTCATTTCTGCCCGATGCGAGACGGAGATGTCTGCGTCCTAAGGAACAGACGACGGACTGACAGACGGACTTTTCCGTCAACTTGTTGTGACTCCTGACGATGCTCCACGGAGGCGTCGCGGACTCTTTACGTGGCTCTACGTGTGGATAAGTGTGTGCGCGCGCGTTTGATTATTTCGAGAAACGGTGAAATGTTTTCATCGCCGGCGTCAGTGGGCGAGCCATCGGGCTACGACTTTCAAAAAGAGGAGAACGCTGCCAAGTGGAAGGGAGTGTTTGTCAACTCCCTGCGCAAGGTACATCTCCCTGCTGCTACTGCTGCTGCTTCATCTCTTTTATTAATTTTTTTTTTTCTTTGCTTCTTTTCGTTCTCTTTCCCTCCCTCCCTCCCTTCTCCCTTTCTCTCTTTCTTTCTCTTTTGTACATGTCGCTTTCTTGTCTTTATTATTCCGTTCTATCCCCTCCACCTTCAACCCTGCTTCTCTCTTCTTAACTTTTTGTTCGGTCAAACGTACGTAGATCATTTTTCATCTCAATGATTTTTACGTCGACGCCGTATCGATCAACGACAACACAACACACATCAACGTCATCGTCGCGTGCGTGACCACACACACCTTGTCTAATCTTTTTTTTTTCCCCCTTACTCCCCGAACACACCGTTCCTGTCAACTTGTGCGAAATTTGTGTAATTTGCGTGAATTACAAGAATACCGCTCGCATTTTTGTGTGTTTTTCTCTATTTCTTGTGTGAACACACATCTGATCGTTCAGATCGGCAACGTGTCTTTTTTCCGTAAATATTATGCATTGGGAGAAATACCACACGAAATCAAAAGAGACAAACTTATGTTTGTAGGTACTAGAGCAAGTACATCCTAGTCTTCAAGCTAGACAAGATGCCTTAGACTATGTGGAGAGTTTAATTTTAAGAATGTTAGGCATGCTTTGTGGACATCCACCTCCTCAAACTCCTCAAGATGTAGAAGAGCGAGTCAGACGAACATTTCCCACTCCCATTGACAGATGGGCTCTTCGTGATGCTAAAGATGCGCTAGAAAAAGGGAAAAAAAAGTCACCGCTAGTGCTGCCAGTTGACAAGATCCATCAGTTATTACAAAAAGTATATATATATATGTATAGTATATATGTATATATCTATCTATTTATATACAACTAAATGCTAAAAGTATACGTACACATATGCGGCAATTAATTCAAATTAATTTTTACATGATTATAGCATATCTTTATGTGTATTATTTTTCTCTTGACAATAGGAAGTATTACAACACAAAATTGACCTGCAAGTTAGCCTGTTTGTGGTTGGAGTTTTGGAATATATTTCTGCTGACATTTTGAAGGTTGGTATTTAATATTGAATTGTTTTTTATATCACTTTAAGTAGACAACACACTTGTATTGCCTCAAATTTCAAACCCAGGAATATTTAAGGAATCACTTCCTTTTCAGCTAGCTGGAAACTATGTGAAGAATATTCACCATGTAGAGATTTCGTGCGAGGACATAAGAGTCGCCATGTACGCAGACATGGTAAGTTATTTGTTTTTGCAAAAAAAACATATTATCTCTACCGATATCTCTGTACTGCACCTTAAATTAATATACACTTTGTATCATGTTTTACCACTTATATTGTAAGACTGATATAGGTGTATCTGTGTATATTTTTTAATTACTTTGAAAATGTGAAATACGTTACAAGATTGTATATGGCTGTACTTGACCATTAGTGTGGATGTATACAACACATTATTTATTTTATACATTTTAAATCAGTCTTATATTTGTAAATTATATGTTAATTAAATAAGTTAAATTATATGTTAATTAAATAAGTAAATGAGTATATATATATATACCTGTGTGTATATATATATATATATATACACACAGGTTTTGTAAAGTTTATACTCTACAGAAGAAATGATATGAGTGGTATCACATCGCATTATAGAGGGTAAATGCAGTAGAGAAATATGATACCTCGCTAGTAACAGTTTGCTTGTTTACCATTTAAATCTGATTTACGTTTCTGTTCTGATCTGACATCCGACCTGTATTCCACTTGAAATATATGTCGTTTGATAAAAATTGGAAATGGTAAATTTTGGTCTGTGTATTTCGAAAAGCATCTGTTACTAGCAACAGGTATAATAATAAATTTCAGAATTGGCTACACTAGGCTAATTGTGGCTGCATATATTCTATGCTTGGTTACATGCTTCCCACTAATATATAACAACTCCAACCATGTTCATTCTTCGCTCATGCTGTTCTAGGTGGTATGTACACATAATAGCACAGAAAAGATTTAACGTGTAACAATATTTGTTCGTATCTCTGTATTAGTATTTTTTGAAGACGTGTATTCGGCTTTGTGTCCAATTTTTTTCGTTAATCCAAAAGTATTATTTCGTCGCTTATCCAAAAGTATTATTTTTATTGTGTCTGTGTCAAAACTTGGAAAAATTATATATACTGTATCTTCCATCACATTGTGTAGAAAAGTAACACGTACGATGTTATAATTCTACAAAGGAATGAATCTCTCACACACAGTAAAAACTCCTTTCAACGTTTGCATTTATTTTTTATGTTTTTAATTTTATAACTTTCTTTGTATATGTGTATTCTTTTTTTTTTTAATAAATTGATATTATACATGCAAATTTTTATATGTGTAATTATGTAATTGTATAATTAATTTTATGTACATATAATTTGCATAATATGTACTAACTTATATATATTTATGAATATACATACAAATATATTCATGTTTTATGCTGATTATAACACACATTCAAAGTTATTATGTAACAAATAATATATGGATCTTCCTCAAATATATTGATAAGAAAATATTCATATACTGTGCATGCAACTTACTCTAGACATAAGAATTGTAATAATTTTTTTTTTTTTTTTTTTTAAGTTTACTTTTAATATGTTTTTTCTTGCATGTGTGCTATTATAATTACTTTTATCACTAGATTGTAATAGTAAACATTGATTAACAGCAGTTCTATTTGTTAGTTCTCTATTCCATTTTAACAAAAAAAATATACGTACATTTCTCTATCTCTCTCTCTCTTTCTCCGGAGATAGCTTTATAATATTGTAATATAAACTACTGTTTATTAACAGGTACTGATGGACATGTTCTACCAGGACGATTGCACCGAGGGTCCACAAAGTAGTCTGGGTGCTGTTGTTTCACAGACCTATGAAGAGTCTGTTCGAGATCTCATTCACGATGAACGGCAATATATCCGCGACCTACATATGATTATTAAAGTTATTATTACATAACATACACATTAATCAGAAATTATATCACTGTCCGATTAAAGAAGAGTAAACAAACTCAATCTTTATTAGGTATTCCGTGAAGAAATAGCAAAGCTAACACAAGATAAGACCGAACTTGAGACACTCTTCAGTAACATTATGGATATTTATGAACTCACTGTCACGGTACTAGGCAGTTTAGAGGATATAATGGAAATTACTGAAGAAAAACAAACGCCTACAGTCGGTTTTTGTTTTGAGGAATTAGCAGAGACAGCAGAATTCGATGTTTATATTAAGTATGTGTCACAAGCATTTATTTGTACGTAACATATAACGCGTGTACAATTCTTGTTGATCATGTCATTGTGTCATCACAGGTACGCGAGAGATATTAATAGCCCGGCTAATCGGGAGGTTTTGACAAATTTATTATCAAGACCTGAAGCTAACGCCGCATTACGAGCAGCAGGTCACGGCTTTAAGGAAGCTGTTAAATATTATTTGCCAAAACTTTTATTACAACCCATATGGCATTGCTTTTTATATTTCGATTATATAAAGGTATCATTTTCTTTTTCATTTATTTTACGCAATTACCGCTCGTGCGTGAATATGTCACACATTTTTATCTCTTATCTCTCAACAATCACAGGTTTTAAGTAAGCGCACGCCAAATATAGAGGACAGTGACACTTTGGAACAAGTGCAGGGTTTGTTGAGACCGTTGCAAATGAAATTAATGAAATCTGTATCAAGTCTTCCAAAAAAGGACACGGGCTTGCGGATGCAGAGCAGAGCGAGGAGACAGGCGGCATTAGAAAAGACTAGTGAATTACAAAAGACTGTAGACGGCTGGGATCAAAGAGACATTGGACAGTGCTGCAACGAGTTTATTAGAGGTAACGAAGAAAACTTTAAGATGTTTCTTGTGCAAAAAAAAAAAAAAAAAAAAAAAAAAAAAAAAAAAAAAAAAAAAAAAAAACAATAAGAGATGGTAATGAAGAATTAGAGATCCTTTCAGAGATCAAAACTTACGTATTGATTTTTGTACAGAGGATACGTTAGCAAAAGTGGCTAGTAATGGACGAAGATTGACCGAGAGGAAAGCCTTGTTATTCGACGGTTTATTAGTATTGTGTAAACCGAGTGGCGGCAAACGGGTGAGCGTTACTGTTGCAGCGGGTATTGTTGGAGGTGGACATCCGGCTCATCAAGGCGAACTGCGATTGAAAGAAAGATTCTTCATTAGAAAGGTTGATATTATCGACAGGGAAGATACCGAAGGTGAACGCGTGTTTACACAATTTTTTGTATTGTGTTATTAGTGATTTCACCGTATTCGCAACAGTTGTGTGATATATATATATATATGTAAACTTACAGAATTAAAAAATGCTTTCGAAATTGCACCAAGGGACCATCCTAATGTTGTTCTTGTTGCAAAATCCGCCGAGGATAAGAATAACTGGATGGCGGATTTAGTGATGTTAAATACAAAGAGCATGTTAGAAAGGACATTGGATAGTATACTTTTGGACGAGGAGAGGAAGCATCCGTTGAGACTACCTCCGGCGCATTTGTATAAATTCGCCGAGCAAGATAGTCTGGAAAATATTGTTTTGGAGGCCAGGGAGAACGGTGGCGTTCCACTGATTAAAGGTGCTACTTTGATAAAACTGGTGGAAAGGTTAACTTATCACATATACGCCGATCCGGCTTTCGTAAGAACATTCCTCACTACCTACAGGTAGTAAAAACAAACAAAGTTTAATATACTACAACGCGCTGTTTAATGTACACGCAAACGAATTATTGACTGATTGTTTATTTTATAGGAGTTTTTGCTCACCTCAAGAATTATTAACGTTGCTTATCGAGAGATTTGATATACCGGACCCTTCGTTGGTCTATGACGAGGAAGAAAAACCTTCCGTCGGTAAAACGACTGCGCGAGAGGATTGGAAGAGATACAGAAAGGAATTCTGTCAGCCTGTGCAGTTTCGAGTTCTGAATGTTCTGAGACATTGGGTTAGTAATAGTTTCTATATTTCTATTCTTTCACGAAAAACAATTATCTGGGGAGCGTGGTTTTTTAAATATCGAGATTTGCCTTCAGGTGGATCATCATTTTTACGATTTTGAACGTGACAGAAGTCTTTTGGAGAAATTGCAATCTTTTTTGGACACAGTCAGTGGAAAATCTATGAGAAAGTGGGTTGATTGTGTACTCAAAATTGTTCAGAGAAAATGCGAACCGTCGGAGCAACGACCTATCACATTCAGTTTTGAACGATCTCCACCACCAATTGAGTGGCATCTTAAAGTTCCTGAAGAAGAATATGGAATACTTACGGTATACAGGCACACACACATATTGTTTTTTTATTCACACGCGTAAATAGAAATATTGGTTACCGTATTAAAAACTTACGAAAATTACAGTTACATCCTATCGAACTAGCGCGACAATTGACACTGTTGGAGTTTGATTTGTATAGAACGGTAAAACCTTCTGAGTTGGTCGGATCTGTGTGGACAAAAAAGGACAAAGAAAAAACATCGCCAAACTTGCTGAAAATGATCAAGCACACAACAAATGTAAGTTTTTGCGCTCGATCTTTGTGTATCACACGTATGTATGTCTTTTTTTTTTACATAGCGGTTTTACTTGTTCATTGCATTTTGATAGTTTACGAGATGGGTGGAAAAATCGATAGTGGAGGCTGAGAATTTCGATGAGAGAGTAGCCATTGTGTCGCGTGCAATTGAAATAATGATGGTGCTGCAAGATCTCAACAATTTTAATGGGGTTCTCGCGATCATCAGTGCTATGGGATCGGCTTCGGTCTTTAGGCTAAAATTCACGTTCCAGGTATGTTTCAGTGTCATCATACATTAACATGTTCTTAAAAACAAAACAAAAGTGTTTATATAAGTTAAATCTTTCTCGTTTCGTACCCTTTCGTTCTCGCAGCAATTGAACACACGATTAGAAAAAGCGTTGGAAGAAGCGCGAGAGCTCAACAACGATCATTGTCGGAAGTATCAGGAAAAATTAAGATCTATCAATCCACCTTGTGTACCATTTTTTGGTAAGCGCTTGCGAAGTGACGTGACATTTTTGTTTTATTGCTTTTTTTTTATTATTTTTCTCGTTGTGTAACATTGTTTTATTATCCCTTAGGTATGTACCTGACCAATATTGTGCATATTGAGGAGGGAAATCTTGACTATTTGCCAGGAAGTCCGGAGCTTATTAATTTCAGTAAACGCCGGAAGGTCGCGGAGATAACCGGCGAAATACAGCAGTACCAAAATCAACCCTATTGTCTTTCAGTGGAGCATAAGATAAGACAGTTCATCGAGAATCTGTGTCCCTTCGACCCGAATATGAAAGATGAAGATATAAACAATTATTTGTACAACAAAAGTCTAGAAATCGAACCGAGGGGTTGTAGACAACTTCCGCGATTTGTAAGCATTATTTGCTTTTTTGTTAAAGTTAGGTAACAATGTGTGACTGTGTCGCGAGTTTTTTTCTCCTGTCTTTTTGACTTTTTACAACAGCCACGTAAATGGCCAGAGTTGAATCTAAAGTCGCCGGGAATTAAAGCCAGAAGTTTGAGCGGAAGGTTGCCGGCTCCGTTACACGCGGTAACGTCCACCGTGAGGTTACACGGTCCTCCCGCGGAAGCGCCGCCTTCTCCCGAATTGCCGGAAACACCGCCGCACGCATCACAAATCACAGTTCCACATGTAGGGGACCACAGCGTTTTCGCACCTGTCTTATTAGGCAAGTATACGTTTGAAATGTGATAACATCAGCAATATTTACAACTTTAACTTTCAACTTTTTTTATTTTGTTCCCAAAGGACCTGTACCACCTCCAGGATCACCTAGTCCACCAAGCTTGTCGGGGCTTTCGATCGCCTCATCGAATAGCAGCCCTCAATTGGGATCTCCTGGACATCACATCTTTTTTAATTCTGGCACAATAGGCATCATCGGTTCATCGTTGACAGGTGGAAGTCTTAGTCCGATGCCGACGCCGCCGTCTCCCAATACCATGCCTCCTAGCCAACAACCGCCGCCTCTACCACCCAGATCTAATCGAAGACGAGAGAGTTCATTTAGCGAATCGCCTCAACAAGTAAGAGTTCGAAAACATTTATCTCTCGTTTAGTACAATCAAATTTCTACTAATTATCATTGCTTTGTTTTATTCAATGAAAAATATCTGTATAAAGTAAAAAATTATAGCGAGCTTAATTTTTTTTACTTTTTTTTTAGTTTATTTCATTTATTAAATATCGTATGATTCTCAAGAAAATGCCATGTTCATATTATCAACGAAAACAGGCAAGACAAGCGCCAAACGCGCCCATTCTTCCCCCAAGAGATGACATCTCTCCGCCGCCGTTGCCACCACGAAGAGACATGCCGCCTGTGACATTACCGCGAATTCCATCGACACTCAACTCGAGCACTTCGGCGTTACTGGCGCGCCGCAATTCCACGTTAGAAAATGCATGCTGCACTGTTGTTCATCCACGTAGACACATGTCTTTCAATGGACCCAGCCCTACAAAACTTCCGCCAGCACAGCCTAACGGTATGATATGTAATAACAAGTACACGTATCACATTCTCTTCTTTTGTACAAATATTATAAACAATTATGTGACACACAATATTTATCTGATACGTTATTGATGTTATCGATTTTTAGAATCAGTGACACCGAGGTTACCACCAAAACCATTACCAGGACGTCCACCTACCATGTTCAATTTCAATGCTCCACCCGGACCTAGTTAAGCGTTTTTTTTCTTCCCGCAGCTTTTCTTATCTTTTGGGAAAAGAACATTATTCGGTGAGGCATGGTCCACTCAGTAAAGCGGGCTGAAATCTTTCTTATCTTGTTGCATGAAAATGATAATTAACAAAAATTGATAAGTATCAAATATAGGAGGTACTTGATTTGTGTTTATATATATATATATATATAGTGGCACTTTGATAAATCATGAAATACCAAAGTAATGTCGAGAATATTCTATAATTCTTTGCGACATTTTATTCGACACAACTCTCGAGCGATATATTTTATCATCACCGTGCGAGATAACAATCGTGACTTGTCATGTTTCGTAATTTCATTACTGAATGGACTACGCCAAGTTTTAGTTACCTGAGAATGACTTTCTTCCTTTTTTCTTAAATTCCCTCGTCTCTCCTCAAAAAAAAAAAAAAGAACAACTGTGATATAGTTTTGAAAATAACATTATGTAATTATAGACATTTTAGCTGTTAAACTTATAGAGAATATAAGAAAGTGATGTGTATCGAAATGAATTATACAAAACGAAATATACATATATAAAAATATTATATCAAGAAGCATACACAAACATATATGTACGTGGACAGGTCAATAATTATCCGCGCTCTGTTTGTAAAATTTAGAAAAAGAACAAATAGAAAATTTACACATATGTGTTGTGTGTGTGTGCGGATGTATGTGTGAGAGAACCTAGACAATTTTCGACTTAGCCCTTAAGTTGAATGCAAGTCTATGTAAAAATGACGTGTGATTTGTGAATTGTCTGTTTGTTCTTTTAATGAATTTTTATAAATAGAATGCAACACATTATTGACTTACTCGTGTGTGTATATATTATATATATATATATATATATATATATATATGTACATATATATAGACACACATATATACATATTGAGAAAGAGAGAGAGTGTGAATGTATACGAGAGAGATTAAATATATACATACGTGTACTATAAATATATTCTATACAATAGCAATTGTAATAATATTTCTAGGAGAAAGAAACATGGCATTATGTAAAATAAAAACAAAATATATCGCGTAGAGTATTTGTAGTAAATGTTACCTTATATGTATATATATATATATGTATATATATATATATATATATATATAATATTGAAAGATCATGCAAATGTAAATGTTACTGTAGAAACGAATTGCGGTCTACTATATTTGGAAAGGATCTAGAAGGAAATAGAGAATACAGCATTTTGGCGTTTGATCTTTTCTTATTATTCTTTCGTAATAATTCATGATTGGAATGGCGCGGAAAGAAATAATAACGATCATGGGACTTCCCAGACTGTGGATCCGTCGCTGCGCTTGCTGTGCCTGACACCACCGTCAGCGTGAGTAGTAGTATCCAGAACGTCACTCAGCTTGCTGAACCGTCTGGCCCAACTTCCTCTGCCGATGCTTCCGGCTTCTCTCAACACCGAGAGCAAGTCGTCTTCGTCCTCTTTGCCTCTTATTTCCTTCTCGTACTTCTCCTCCTGTGCGATCAGTCGTTCGCGTTGCAGTTGAGTCTCCAAGGAATGCGGCACGCACGGTATCACGTAGCTCATAATACCGGTGAGTGCAAAAACCTGCAAAGAATTTTTTTTCATTTCTTTGTTTTCTTTACCGTCTCGCGCGTTTTGTAAACCAAAAAAAGATCCAATCTAAAACGAGACTCACAACGTGCTCGAAGACAACAACGAATGCCAAACGCGCGGCAAAAACGTGCCAATACTGCGGACTGAGTCCGTAAGGATCCGGATGATTCGGAGGATTTCTGTAGCCCCGGTATTGGCATATCTCCGGATGTTCGTCTTCCACGTCGCTTTTCATGTCGTCGAGATAATCGGAAGTATTGAAGTCCGACAACGAGCTGTCGATGTAACCCACCAAATCACTGGTGGGCGAGTAAACGAACGCGTACACGCTTCGTGGAATAAAGTCGGATGTGTACGCGATAACGAAAGCCTGAAAACATACATACGACGATCGTACCGCTACGAAACTTCCGAGATAAACGCACATAAATGATTCGTTATATGCGACTCGCAAGAATTTTCTCGTACATTTGACACCACCGCCACGTAAGTAACACCCCTAAGAATACCCAACCAGGCGCCGATATCCTCCACTCGTTCGGCCAAAGGTCTTCGGGCCTCCTTCACCATTTTATACGCATCCAGTCTTATCTCGGCGATGTTGTTCAACAACGCGAAAAGAGGTGCTAGCGGAAACGCCGCCACGAACAGTGTCACAAATCCGTACTGCAGAACTAAACATTCGCGAGAATAACGTGACAAGAGATAATGTAAAAGAAATAATTTTTTGTGTGTGCTGCAACATTTATTTTTCCATAAATTTTTCCAAATTGTAACTCACTCATCTCCAGGTATTCGTCGAACAGAGCCAGTCTTCCGGGATCCTGAAGCTGATAATCCTTCTCCCAAGCGGTGTATCTTCTGTCGTGGTCTTTCGTCGCCGCGACTTGCGTTCTCTTGCGCCACCAGTTCCACAATTTCGGCGACAAGATCTCGAGAATGTTGTTAAAGCATTGCTTGCCGACCATTATAATTGCAAGTTGAATACAGACTTCTGAGAGACAACCGGCTGGATCGCACACGTCCGTTTTAATGCGATAAAATTCGGAGGCTCTCGCATCCGCGTCGCCAGGTTGGACGAAAAATCTTCCCTAAGTAAAATCGCAAATCTCGAAAAGCGTTTGCGCAACAAAATGTTTTATTCTATTGTGAAATTTGTTAATTAATTACGTATATATGTACCTTGAAAAATGCGATATAAATCAAGGAAGAGTAAAAGTTGACGAATTCAAACAGAAAGATTTTAAACGTAAAACTGGCTTCGTACTCCGTCTGCGTTCTCGGATTTTCCAAATTCACCATCCAACGTGCTAAACGGTGATATATTCGCGTAAGTATCATTATTATCACCAAGTTAATGAGAGCCGCGGTCATGGAAGTGAATATTTTCGCGTGTCTCTTCAGGAAAGAGCCGCCGCCGCCGTAAAATACAGCGACCAGCGAAATGCGATACACAATCGTGCCTAGAACCGCTCCGAGAACCACGCATATCTAAAAAAGTAACAAAGTAATAATAATAACAATAACAATTCCGATGATATTTCGCGTGGCAAAACAAAGTCTTTAAACAAAAATACGTAAGTGCGAAAAAATTGCGAAGACTCGGAACGTCTCCGTCATTTTTTTTTTCGCACAACAGACGTTCCAAACTTCAACGCGACATTACAAAATTACCATAAAAAACACCATCGAGCCTGTAACGGTCATTCGTATGGCCTTAGACCAATTGGGCAGATACGGTTCTCTCTCTTTCGTAACGGGATTTATTCGGTACGTTTTAACGGTCGCCTCGAACTCGGGTCTGGGCTCTTCGTCGTAATCGGCGTTCTGAAGATCCCACTCCCAAACGATCACGGCTTGCCGTCGCTTCCACAGTTCGAGAAACGTCGTGGCTGTTGGATCGCGAAAAGTGAAAATCAAGCGCGTAGAAAGCGAGACGTTACGTCGTTTTTATCGAGTCGCTTACCCCAAAAGGACATGAAAATAGCGAAGAAGACAGTCGCGGGATTGTCGAATAAGTACGTTAGTTTCGAGAATATACAGGAATCGCCGAGTTTTTGATAAGTACAAGCTTTGTCACAGAGAGGACACAGAGTGATATTTCCTGTGTGAAGAAATTACAATACATAAAAATTTAGATATGTATTCATTACATATACACACACGCACACAGAGACAGACACGCAACAAACATGATTACGTTAGAAGAAAAGCTTTACCAGCTAAATTAGGGTCGCAAATTTCTTTGCTGGGAACGTTATCTTCACCGTCCATACTCCCGAGGCCGTAAATGAAACACAAGAGACCCACGAAAGCTGGCGCGTACAGACATTTTGTGTAAAATCCCAACCAGGCGAAGTAAAGAGCAACCTTCTCGCCAAAGTATCGTCTTATTAGCCACAACGGTTGCTTCTTATACCTGAACAAACGAACTCGCGTGAAAGTCTCTTTCAAATATGTACATAACGTTAATGAATAAATTATTTAAAATGTATTTGCTCTTGTGTGTACCATTGCGAGGGTCTCGCCCATATCAAGTACAACAGATGTCTGTCGAGAATCTCGCCGCTGCGCATGGGTTTGTTGTAAGGACCCTCGTGCAGAGAGAAACAATCGAGATACGTCCCGTCCGCCAGAAGTCTGCGAATACCGGACTTCTCGTTGCTCTCGTCAAACCTCGCCCGTAACAATATCTGCATCACTATCAGCGATCTCTGAGCGGGCGTGTAAGCGTTGTCTCTTTCCTTCACGATGAATCTTTAACGCGATAACATTTCGCACCGATTAATTTATCCCCCACCCCTTTCCTCCCGTTTTCTTTCATCTTTTTTTTATTGTATACTTTCCGCAATGGACAATACTTAAACAATACCTTTCCTCGCGATCGCTCGAATCGATGTAGTCGTAAAAATTCGGTTCCTTCGGGTACTTGGTCGTGTCCCAAATGTGAATTTTGCGTATCCACTCGACCCACTGCATCCATTTCTTCCAGAACTTTGACATTTCTTTGGCACCTTCCGCATCCTGCTTTTGATTTCGAGAGACAATGATTTTTTCGCGTTAATTCTCAAACACACGTGTGCTTCGTGGATTGTTTTTTTTTTTTTAAGAGACTGCACGTACCCAAGTCTTCATCGGGATCGTTTTGAACTTTTTGGTAGGTAACTTCAGTCCCATCACCTCGGCGTATTGCACTTTGATTTTCCACGGTATGTGCAATTTCAGAAAAAACGTTTTCCCATCGAACGAGTTCTCTTTCGGCTCGAGTTCCATTTGAAGACCCTCCTTCACGAGATTCTGCTGAAAAACCTTTCTCTGTTCTCGCCGACGAGCTTCTATTTCGGTCATAACTCCCTCGTTCTCTTCTTGGTAGACTAATACCATATCGATTCTTCGGTGACCGTCGCTAAAAATTGTATCGTATTGAATCGGATCGGCAAATACAATACGAGCAAACAAGTATTATTTTTTCCAAAGACAACTTCAATCGATAACGATATTCTTTTCGTGCGCGCGTGATGTAAGTTCTCGCATTAAAAAGACGTCAGAAACAAACAAACCAAAAAAAAAACAATATAAATGAGATTTCAGATATAAAAATATTCATTTCTTCTTTCGAATTATTCGTACACGTGTGTTTACGCAACGATGAAAAAAAAAAAAAAACACGTTGAAACAATCGTAAACGACATTGTGAAGGACTTTTATTAAAGTGTTATGAGACAAAACTTCCCCTCATGTTTATTTATGTAGTAATATGACACGTGGAAAACCAAAATAGCACCCGTGACATATATCGCGCGATGACTTACCGAAAGTAGAGTGTGTCGGAATCGATTCCCGTTTCCGTTTCTTTCGACGGCAATGAATCTCCAGTGGTCTCGGCGAAGTCCAGCGAGACTGGCGTAGCCGGTAGCGAGGGGTTGATTTCCGGACTAGCGGGTGCTGTGAGTTTAGGACCTTGTCCAAATTATACAGAAATTACTTGCACGAAGCCGTACAAGCTTCTCACGCCGATATTATTACATAGAATTGTGTAATCTCTCTTGTTTGGCGCGCGGAAAAAATGTCAAAAATATTATATTTTGTTGTACATCTCAGTATACGCGTGAGATCGCGACATATCTTTTTCTTTCTCTCTCTGTGTCGAATCGCGTTGTAAAACCTGTTGCGTTGATAAATGGAAAATTTTCGTGAATTTCTCGTAAAAAATAAACGCGCGCGCGTTTATGTACGTCATTTTATTTCTCGCATTATGCACCGCGGAAATAGAAAATTGGATCGCTCTTCTACAGTCGCAAATATAGAATAAAACTTTTGTTATTAATGAGAGTGTAAGGTCATGTGCGCGAACGGAATTAAAACACCACCGAGGGGGCGTATATGCGCTATATATACAATCGCGCACTTTCTTCAAAAGTCATCACCCCTCTCCTCCACGCTTTACCTTGAAGACGAGCTCTAGCTCTGCTCTCTCCATAAATGCGATCTTCGCGCGATTGACTTATATAGGTAAAAAGTGCGCTGCTATTACGAAAAAAAAGAGAGCAAACAGTTTGAAGAAGCAAAGTTGAAGGAGTTTCGTAACGATGATAATGCCATGCCCGACGAAGCCGAGTCGCTGTATTATTTATACATCTAATATTCGTGACACGCTGACATTCGTATACGCATATTGATCGAAGTTTACTGACATAGCTTTATTGCCGCTTTATAGACGAGGATCGCCGCGCGATTTCCCGCGAGTTGACTCTCTCTCTCCCTCTCCCCCTCTCTCTTTCTATTTTTTTCGTTTTATATGTAAGTTGCGTAGAGATCGTATCGAGTGTCTAACATATGACGAGCCTCGTTACTGAAGGCGCGATGCGACGAAGAGATTAAAGTAAAATTAGTTTTCATTACTTTGTGTGAGAGTAACGGCGAAGAAGGGGTGTTCGCGCGCGCGTGTTTTCGTAAAAAGAAATGCACGGAGAAAGAAACCCGACAATTGCCCGCTATTTCAAGCTACATCAATCTTGCATTAATCTAATTACTCCACTAGCTGCACCAGAGAAAGAGAGAGAAAGATTTAATTAACAAATGAATCCTCACCAAAGGCATCCTGAGCGATCAGATTCGTTCCGGACGGGTATACACTGGCCTTCGATAGCCTTCTGATTGAATTGATGTTAGGCGTTCCTCCGACCGGCGGCAGGCCTCCGTTCTTATCGGGCTCGTAAATAACGTTCCTGTTCGAACAGACGGAACCGATCGGTTCCGGTGATTTCAGCGCACTCTGAGATCTTGTTCTTATCGGCGTCGATTCGCCCGAGGAGGACTCGCGCGACGAGATGTTTCCGGAACCGCTCGATTTCTCGTCGTTGAACTGATGCTCGACCGGACTGTTGTCGTCGGGATGAAGAAAAGCGCCCCAGCTGCTCGGTCGTCGACTGTGATTGTGCTGAAATGACACGTTCGAGTTGACCCGTTTAGATTTCAAACTATACTCTCTCACCAGTCTTCGTATTATTATTCTCTTTATCGTAAGTGCGATTGTAACACACGAAGAGCCGCATGATCATATTGACGAGATCCGAGTTTTAATTTTTGTAATGGAGTTTACGATGTGAAAATGAAAAAAAAAAAAAAAGAAAAAACATAGACGGGACGATCGATATCTTAATCGTTTTTAGTGATCAAACATCAATATAAACGCGACAGCTCTTGTTAGCGTAGCGACATGAACACAACGCGTATTACGCTGATTGGGTACAGTCCGCATTCGCCGAATGTATAAATATTTGGAATGGAAGCGCGACGCGCTTGTAATGTTTTTTCAGTTGGATGAAAGAGGTGCGGGAATAAAGGATCTCTTTTAAGCTGTACATTTGCATTATTTAGATAAAGCATCTATAAACCGGTCGCACGTGTATCTACGCGGATCATCATTTTAGATATTTTTACTCGTGCCCTCCATGCGCAAACGCACATATGTATCTCACGAGCATTCGTTTTTTTTCTCTCTCTCTTTCTCTTTATGTATATTTGAGCTACGTAGTTGCTCGATCGTGTAACGGCGTGACAAATTACAATTTACACAGATAGATATAAATTTTATTCTGCAAATGTACCCGGGTCGCGCAACAGAAAAGTCTCATCAAATGTCCATTAGACGGCTCTGTGCGATATCTAATGCACGTTTAATGAGGTTTCTGTTTTCGATTTTTTTGTTCTGTGTGTCGATAATGTGTACGTATAAAATGTCCTTAATGTACGTACGTATGTATGTGTGTGTGCACGTATACAATACCAAACATACACACAGTGACTCACTGTGAAAAATATTCTCACATGCGCGGGATGCAAAACCGTGTTTTGGAACGGTGCTAAGTATACCTGGCTGTCATTGTCTACTTGCAGCTTGCTATCGTCCATGTTGATAATTCTTTGAGATTTTCTCGCTACGTATCGCTCGCATAGCCCGGAAGACTATAACATCGACACGCACAGCAATTCGAAATGTCAGTCGATTCGCGATGACATCTCTCGCATCCCAGAAACGATCAGATCGGAAAGGATGATTTCTCGATCGTCGAGAGGATCATCGTGACAAAATGGACAGTAGATTCGCCAGCGATGTTTCGCTGAGCGAATTCTTCGCGCGAGTCTTTCCCCGATCACGGTCTAATGGTTAATCGCAAAAAAAACTCGCGAATCGATCAGTGTGTTGATAGCTCGTCGGATAGTCCGCGGCCTTGTGTCGATTGTTCAATTATGAATGGACTCAACCCTCGCTCGAAGAAATGCTTCGATGGTCAGGGTCGTGCGGGGCGTTCGAGGATGCGCCCTTAAGAAGGTATGAGGGAAGACACCTCGAAGGAACCTCGTCCATTCAATCGCCACGAACGTGGTTTCACGCAACGGTACATGGTGTTGAGATCGTCTGTACGTGCGTTTGTAAATTAAGTTTCTTACGCGGCTCGTGTCGCCGTGGGCGCGTGCGGATTCACATTTAAACTTATTCCACTTTCGTAGTATCCGCAACCGTCTCGTCTTCCTTTGTTTTTGGTTGATTTGATAATCGTTCGATATCTTCAAACTTTATAATAAACAATTCGAAAAGAAAACATTCGTCCTCTTTTTCCGTGTCAGCACGTCACATTGTGACAAAACTAAAATAACAAAATAAAAACATTTTTACGCACAATTGGGAAACAAACACGATAAAGTTGATGCAAATTGTTGTAACTTTTTGTCGCGCGCAAGCGCGCGTATCTTTTTTTGTTTTTGGGAGGGAAACGTTGTAAAAAATTGAATTTAATTTAATTCCGATCGAATCGGTGACTCTTTCGCGACAGTAGTGTAACATGTACTGAACGGAGAACAGCGGAGCAATACTTATATACCACGCGCGTATCGTCCCATATCAGTGTCCTTTATTTATAGTGGTCGCGTAGACATTTTGCAGGAGGGGTGTATATATATATATACAGGGTGTCCCAGAATTGCCGTACAATCTCTCGTAGGCAGGTAGAAGGAGTAAAACTGAGTCGAAAAGTCCTGAACCATTTTTTTCTATTATTTATAATAAAGGAGTAATTATTGAGTAAATCAGGCCAATCAGCGCAGACCTTTAGCCAGACGCACGTCAGTGAGCCGCGCGCCTCGTGTGTGTGAGCGCTCACTGACATGCGTATGGCTAAAGGTCTGCGCTGATTGGCCTGATTTACTCAATAATTACTCCTTTATTATAAATAATAGAAAAAAATGGTTCAGGACTTTTCGACTCAGTTTTACTCCTTCTACCTGCCTACGAGAGATTGTACGGCAATTCTGGGACACCCTGTATATATGCATTTACCCTTTCCGCGCGCGCGGGAGATGTTCACCTCCTTCCGGCCAAGTTCCGCCGCGTGGCGGAATGTCGAGGCTTTTCGCAGCATCACTATGGTTACCCGTTGGACACAACATTATGTGTGTGTTACGTTGCTCTGAAAATTATTGCTCCTCTTTCGAACTTGAACTTGAAAGGCTGGCGAACGGCAGACGGTATACCTGGTGTGCACACACGTAGATAAACGTGATGTATACAACGCTCGTATATATGTCACTCGCTCTGTCACGTAATGTGGAACAAGTTAGGTGAAAGTCGCATTTAAAAAAAAAAAAAAAAAAAAGAACCGTAACACTTTTTTACTCTCAACGCGCTTTTCAAATTTTTATTTCTCTTTTTTTCTCATCACGCATGTGAGGTTTTATATTACGCGGTTGATTAAATTGTCGAATGGACTGTACAAGTTATTACAAACGAAGTGACAATCTCAATTCGGAAGAAACTTACCGACAGGATAAACTTTTTATTTCTGTTGGAAAAAATTATATGAAAACGCGTTCGTTGTAACACATTTACATGTTACGTCCATTAAAATACTCTTATATGCGGAGTAACAATCACTTTATATACCTGTTTGATGCAACGCGTAGTTCCATTTAAGAGATTTGTTGAAGAGAGATTCAACGTCACGGACTTTTCTCATTCGAATTGTTTAGAAGGTTGGCCCTCTCGCTTCGCCCGAACAGCGTGTGAGTTTAGAAATTGTCGAGAAGCTCTCGTACTTTTCAAAAATGAAGCTCTGACGTCACGTCCAATGAGAGGAACGCTCGGGCCGATATTCACGGAACCCACGCGAGTGCTCGATCAACGTCGGATTGGCTGGTTGCGCGCATGCGCAGTTGTAGTCGCGACGAGCCAATCCAATTCGGTCGACCGTACTGCGATTGGTCGATTTTCGCGAGTTTTGTCCGCGATGCGCATGGTCCGTTGGGAACGCGATTTTAAGTTTTCTTCCGTACACACGCAATACACACGTGTGTTTTCATAGGAGCGTGTTTAGTTTGGCGTCCGATCACCGTGGCGACGATTGAGCACGCGTCACTGAACGCATCAACATCGAGCAAGCCGGACAGCCGCAACGGACAGCTCCGAGTACGATCTTCGAAAAGTCGTCTTTTATTTCGTGCTATTTATAAGTACGGCAGAATGGGACGATTGTTCGCTTGTTTCCGATGCTGCCTCGTCGTTGGTACGGTTCTGCTTGGCGTAAGTTGAAAAGAGTCTGTTAAGTTTTTACTCGCGTGTTTTAGTTAGACGATCGCGAAAGAAAAAAAAAAATACCAATTATTTCGACCTCGTGTCGTGCGATTAGGATTAATTGAGCTTCTTGTCGCGCGCTGCTGCAGCAGCAGCAGCAGCAGCAGCTCGAGATCTATTCTAGCAGCGGTCGATGACACATTACTGCGCACGTATAAATCAAACGTGCAAGCAAGTGTGCTTCGAAATTTTTCGGATGACGGTACGTCCAATCCGAGTTCGCACGCAGAAATGTGTTACACGCGTGTTAGTTAACACATGTAACAATAACGTAGGACAAATCCTACGTACAAACAACAAGAGAAAATGTTGAAACAACTGGATATTCATTCACACACTCTTATTTAAGTTTTTTATTTAGGTTTTATAAATTTACACGAGCGTTGTGTGCAAGCATTACGTAAAATAACTACATTAAGATTTGTATTTCAGTTAGGCGGAGTATCGTCGAGGTGGATGTGAATAGAGTTGGGCGAAGTTCGAAAAAACCCGCCAAACAAGATCACGAATTACGTAAATCGAATTACGTAAATGAGTTTTTCCTAAGACAGTTCGTTCAATTCGACACGGGGTTTACTTATTTAAAAAAACGCGTAATATATATATAGCGTGTATATGTGTGAAAAATTGTCTTTTCTTCTAAATTTTAACTTGCGTTTTCCGTACACACGTAATGAAAGTTTGTTTTTTCTTGAAATGTACGCGCATGTGTGCGTGCGCGCGCACGCGCGCGTTTTAATTAAAGTTGTATGTACATGTATGTGTCTTATCTTCTGAAATAATCTTTATGTTTTTCTAAATCTTAGATCAATTTCATCGCGATAACAGTCGTCATAACAACTCGATAGCAACGTGGCGCGTCGTCGCAAAAGTTTGTACGTTGCAATTTCAGAGAAAGAATTAACGTGTGAACAGCTTCGACGAAAGTGATTTTTTATCACGAGATCTATATATACAATATACATACATATATATACTGCATATATGCAATGACCAATAAATGACGTAAATGATATATTTAAAATATATTTTTTTTACAGAAGAATAAAATTATTTAATTTTAAAATTGCTTTCGTGTAATATGATGTTAATGAATCATACAAATATGAAATAAATATTTAATTCAAAATGTATTTCATATAAATGACAATGAGGACAATTAAACTATCTTTTAATAAATAGTTTTATATACACAGGAAAATACGAACAAGCGCACACTTTTGTGTGATCTATTCGTTCTCTCTCGTAGATCTCAGGAGCAATAGTGACGGTGTTTGCTGGTTACTTTATTTATCAGCTGTACGAATACGCGCCGGTTACACCTGATAACGTGTGCGAGTCCGCCGCTGTCTTACTGGCGATGGGATTCACAACCTGCTGCATCGGTTGGTTCGCCTGGCAATTCCTGAATTTTTACAACAGAATGCAAGTTATCACTGTAAGCCATTGTTTTTCACGTTCAGCGAATAGAAAAACGTACAAAGTCCACATTCCGACAATAAAAGCTCCTTAGTTTTCGAGATGTAATCGGAATTATGAAATTCGATAGGATTATGAGAGTTGTTTACAGAAACTTTACACTTCCCCTATCAAATCCATTAGATTCCCGACGAGATGTAAACAAAGTGTTTATCAATCTGTTTATAAACAAATCTATTTATTTACGAAAGTGGTTTTATTTAAGTTTGCTGTTGCACTGGGTACCATTGCACTTATTGAAACTTGCGTGGGAATTTGGGCCTTGGTGCGACACGAGCAAATAGACACCCTATTGCCGGAGCAACACGACGAGATCTTCGCTCTCGCGATCTCGGATGAGAAAACCACTTGGGACCACATGCAGTCCACGGTAAAAACGCTGTATACACATATCTGGATTAAAGAAGAGACCAATATAATCAACTAATCGATTTCATGATAAAAAAGATAAAAAAATAAATGTATGTAAATTACAGTTACAATGTTGCGGCATAGACGGACCGAACGATTATCGTAACGTACAGGCGATTCCGTGGTCCTGCTGCAACAAATCTTTGGATTTGGTGGACAACAACATTGATGGTACTTGCGGCAATATTTACAAGCGCGGGTGTCAACATGTGGTTTTAAATCGGACGAGGTCGATCCTTCTTCACATATTTCTGCTCGCTTTGTGTTCCGTGCTGTTGCAGGTGATTCTCACTCAACTGTCAACATTTTATTCGTCTATTATGATGGTTCGTTTTCAACACCAATTGATATTCCAGATTTCTTTTATGGCGTGTATGACTTGCTACGCGAGAATCTACAAGGACAAGATGAGATCTCAACTGGAGGTAACCAGACGCCAGCGAAACGTGAGGGAACTGCGAAACAACGACACGCTTCTGGAAGACAAGTGGAAACGTTCTGACGGACTCTAGCCAACACCACATCGAGCCGAAGTGACGAACAAAAAACTGCGTTATTTAAAAAGGAGGCGTTGCGACACTGTGATATGCGAAATATACCGCGTTTCGCGTAGCGACAATATTGACGGATGTATACACGGATAAGTAATACGCTTCCGGACTTGTTGACCAAACAGCGCGGTGACAAAGTTTATCGGTGAATCTTCGAGAGTTTATCTAAAGAAAAAAATTTCTTTAAGATAAACTTGTCGATAAAGTTGCGTTTCGGTATTTTTTCCGTCGTATATCGAAAACCCCGCATTGAGAAAAGCAATATATATATAATACAAATGTAATATTCCGACGGGTGCTAAAGTTTCGTGTACCTCTTGTTTTTTACTGCCATTTTACAATCAAACGATCGTACGTAAGTATTTTACTACAATTGATAAAAAATTTAAAAAGACCAGTAGTAAACATATTTCACAACGAGTAGAACTTTTTTCTGACATTACTAATGCATTGTTTTCGCAACGTTATGATTTTAGCAATGCCAAAAGTTACAAGTTTCGTCACAAGATTTATTTTATTTTATTGCTGCGTCAATTTAGCGCATTTAGAAACTGCGCGCTATACTTTTTATTTAAAGCTTTTTGTTGATTTTAGTTTTTATTTTGCAGATATTTTTACAACACGTTGTCGTTTATTTTTACATGTATGTCACTTCTCGCTTCTAACGTCACAAAATAAAAACAAAATATGGCTGCTATTGAGGTTAGAGAGTCAGTACAAGCGATCAAATGCACGGTGCAATAAGCTTTAACGTTAATTCATAAAAATAGAATGTTATCCGAGAATGCGTCATTCTCGTATTAACCACAAATACTTGAGTCATCTTGACGTTAATTAGCGGAATACAAATCAAAAATGATGAGTTTTCTTTTAAAGGAAATGTAAAGAGATACGGCTATTGTTAGCTCTGTAAGTGCAATTTTGCGTATATATACACATATCTGTTTATTTATGCGCACTCACGTTTCTTTTCGACGCGACAATTTCCTTTTGCGCGATCTTCTTGGTTGTCAAAATGACATTTTGTTTTGTTTTTGTTTGCGCGCAAATAAAGATTTTGTATCGAGAATGTTTTCGAAGGAATTGAATCATATACGAATGTACAATCTTTTTTACGAAGAAAAAGTGTTCAATCCTGATGGATGAGTTGCTGGCAGTTTATTTCTATCTCCGACGATAATCTCGTTCCTCGAATTACCGGTCGTTACGACGTAACATATTGTCACTTCCTAAGTTACATTAGGACATATAGAGATAGCAAATTCACAAAATTATTGCAAGATTTCTTAAGTGGCAATTCCATGACTTTAATGATTGCCTGTGTCATTTTTGATGGTGAATAAATTGCAAGGATATTATTTTCTTATCAAAAATCTTTGCGATATCTCGTTGTTAAAAGATTTGCAATCAATACGTACTTCAACGTCAACAGTTGGTTGTTAATTGTTCATTATAATAACGACTTGTTTAGTTATTGTTCAAATTAGTTTGGACGTTACTATGTTTCAATAATATGTTTACCAGGTAAAAAGAAAAAGAAGAAATTTTACCGAGATATGCGAGATTTATATTCTTAATTATTGCTTCTATAGGCACCGACTCGGTGGTCTTGCGGCCTGAGTGCGAGCAAAGTGATTTATGAAATCACCTGTGATTCTCCAGGTTGGAGGTTTAGGCGTTGGGCTTTGCGACTCAACCCTTGGGAAAAAACCAAAGTTCAAAAATGTCCCAGAGTTTTGAATAGAGTTATCTTTTATATTGTCTAGAATAATAAAACAACTCTATGCTTTCATTAAAGTCATAGAATTGCCTCCTAAGGAATCTTGCTATAATCTTGTAAGGTTTTTTGTTATCTCTATATCCAATGTAACTTTTGTGCCCAATTTCTTCACCTCTGATAAGTTCTCGGTAACTCTTTATCTAAGAAATAAAGTATATTATTTTGTATATCTTTATCTAGAGAGCAGCTATCGAGAGGTATGAAGAGGTCGGGGCCTTTAGAGAAGCATTATCTCCGAATTGGTAAATATGACATTTATGTTACGTCGTAACAACGGATCCCCATGCGCTTTTGTTTGGCCCCCTCCCGTTACTTCGCAATCTGTAATCTGCGGTTCGCGGATTTTTTTTTTAACAAAACCAAGATAACACATTGTTTATCTACCATCGTGTTTCTTACGAGAGGAAAAGATATTGCGACGAGGACGCGATAATCTTGGATCGCGACACGTCATTTTACCGCGAATTGCGTCTTCGGCTGACTTCGGGCGCGCTCGTGAGTCATCGAGACGAAGCGCCGTGCGAGTCGCGCGACAGCTCGCTTGAATGGAAAAGTCAGTTGAGATCGAGCCGTCGACCGGTTTGTCGATCACAAAATTATAACAAGACGATCTTAAATTTGCGAAAATTCGAATTTTTTTTCCAGTTGCGCGTGTGTGCGGGTGGGTGTGCGAAGACGATATATCTCTTTCTCGTGATCGCTGCGTTACGTGATCCGCGATCAACATGGGGTGCGGAATGGGAATGATCAAGTATCTGCTCTTCATATTCAACTTCATCTTCGTGGTGAGTACAGTCGGAGCGCCGACACGTACGTATGTGCGCGACGATGTTGATAATGTAACGTCGCCACAAATCGACACCCGGCTCTTCAATTACGATATGTCAGCTTCATGTTTTAGCTCGTTATGTTTTGTCACGGTATAATCGCGCACAACTCGCTCACAGCCCGATCGTTTCGGAGTTTCACAGGCTTATCGCAACGCGAAAACGTAATTAACGATCTTGTTTTGCGCCAATTCTCCTTTTTCTCTGTGTCTTTGATGTAATCGAGAACCTCGTCGCGCGACACGCAAATTCATCGCGAGCGGTTGATATTTTTTTCTTTTTGCAGCTCCAACAACAACAGCCGAACCAAATTGCACTTCCGGTTGCCGTGCGATTGTTCCTCTGACGATTAAAATTAAACTACACGAACTACGTGCGCAGTAAATGAAACACGCGGTCGAGAGTTCTTTGCGGATCGTATTTGCCAGTGCGGTTTTTCTGCGAATTTGTAGGCGTTGTGTGTTACTCAATCCTCCTTGAAACGCCCGGACGTGTCACTCATGATCTCGTGCCTGACTCGTTGCAATTCGCTCTTCGTGTGTATTGTGTGAAGTATTTTAAATGCTTCCTTTTTTTGCACACAACACACGTTACGTGAGGCAAACGAGATCAAAACCGTCCACACTTCGATATTGACAATAGGGTCAGGTAAAAATTGAGTTTCTCCGAGCATGTGCGTGTTTATAAGAGCATAAGCGTCGGGGAAAAAAATATCTCGCCTATAAGGGACAAGTTTTCCTTGACATCGATTCCCTACCTCGCTACATAAAAAGTAAGAAATAAGATCAGTTCGAAATTTTTTCAAAAATCTCATTTTTAAACACTTGATCGCGCGATATCTAGTTGCTCCTAATTTTGTAACAATGAATTAAAACCCAATGAAAATGTTAAAAATATTTTAAAACTGTTGAACAAATTTCTCAAAATTAAATTTTCGACAGTCTCGAGACATACAGTTGGCTTACAGGCGTGTGTGTATTTTGTTTATCACATATTTAATGGGTCTTTAATTACATCGTGCAAAACTTCCGCAATTTTTCAATCGCAAAACATATCGATCGTGCGGTACCAGCAACTCTCGTTTAAACACAGCAATTACGCTGCGATGTAAGTCGCATTTTGCATGTTAATTACTGCGATGAGAAAACTGTGAAAACGGAATCGAAATTAAACGTATCTCGCGAGAGGAGATAGAATTATCTACTTATTCACTATTTCAACGATCGACACGATTAAATCGCTTATCAACCGATAAACTCGCATCCAATCGCTGCATCGGTTGTTATCGCGTTTTTTCTCTCAACTTTTGTGAAACAAAAAAACGAAAATTCGATCAAAAGTCTACAAAATTCATCCAAAATTTTCACGTACCTAATAACACGCACCTATTCGATGAACATTAAATACGACTTAACGCGGACGATGAAGATAATAACGCTGAACGTAAAATGGAGAACGATAACAGTCCCGAGGTAACGGGCTCGCTCTTCTCGATCGTTTCGGAGTATACGTACTTTTCCGCGAACATCTAAGTGCAGCTCCTCTCTTTTCCGCTCAGTTTGCCCCGCTACGGTTTAGTCACACCGGCTGACTCAAGGCTCACCCTTCATCTTCTCTCCCTCACTTCTTTCCAACGGCAGTACTTAGACTTTAGTCGCGTATTGAATTTTTGTCCAACGTTCACAACGAGAACTCGTTCTTTTGTCATGTCGGATGACAAAGAGAATTGTTGCGTAAAAGATTAAAAACGCGTCCCTTTTCTTGAGTAGTTCCTTCTATATCCCCTTATAGTCGATATATATATATATATATATGTACGTAGACGAGCTGGCGCCAGAAACGGCGTCATCGTTTCCATAAAAATGGAAAACTCTTCCTCGAGCAGAACGCGTTTCTTTCTATTTTTCCTTCGCGCGTTGTAACATATCGGTAGAAATGTATTAGTCACGCGCAAAATGTCGCAAACGAATTTTATATGTTAACCGATAACAAATGTATTTCTATCGAATCGATTGATTGACACACACTCGAGAGTTTCGCGATAATCTCTATACACGCGCTTACGTCGTCAATGTTTCACGCGCATTTTAATTATTTACGTGTCGCGCACGTGCTACCTATCGGAAAATCGATTCGGAAAAGGATTACAGATGGACGATCAATTTTGATGAAAATAAACCACGCGCGCATTCCTGAGCGAATGGCTAAAATTAGCGGCAATCTTGTTGCTTGCGCGCAACTATGCAACGCGTCAAGCAGTCAAATCAAGGAGGAAAACTTCACTTCCTCTATTTTGTACGAGATGGTCGTGTTGAAAAAGAAAATATCCAGGAGAATATTGTATGTTCAAATGTTCTTTTTTTTTGTTTTAGATGAGAAGAGAAACACACCCCGATAGATTTATTTCGTTGTAACTTATCTCGAAAATTAGTTACGTAACACTTGACTGTGTGTGTGTGTGTGTATGTGTGAGCGTGTTGCTGAAGTCTCGTCACAGTTGTCTGTAAGAAATACCCGACGAACCCGTCGTCGGGTGACAAAGTTGGCAAAGGTTCGGTGAGAAATACTTAGTAGTCTTACAAAAGGTCGTAAAAGGTTCCCGACAACGGGAACAAAGAAATGACAATTTGTATAGACCAAGAATTCCGAGCGAGACGAGTGCGTCGTAGATTCTTCCAAGAGAAATTTGCTTCAATTTTACAGAAGTTCCTTAAGAGTTCTTCTGTAGATTCTTCGATAACTGCTACAACGCGATGTAATTTTTTCTACTTTGTAATTGTAATTTTATTTAAAAAAATATAAAACTATAAAAAAAATACTCTAACAAATAATATTAATGTTTTAAAATTAAGTATTAGCTACTGATTTTCTATATCTTTGTTATCAGATAAGGAGATAGCCGGGAGTTTTCACTTGTCGGTAATCGATATTTTTAGTATCGATGAAAAGATAGATCGCAGATTATATCGCTTCTTCATCATATTTTGAGAATATTTTGAAGCACACAGTTCGCAGAACAAAATTGTTCGAATAACGATTATTAAATAATGGCTGCGTCAACGTGATATCTTTTTTTTATCTTTATTTTCATTGAGTCATGCGGTTTTCCGGATAATGCGGACATTGCGCGTACATGTTTTTCTCGCACGATATGCAACGTTGCGTTGGCTGTGCTGCCACGCGATACTCGAATGCAATTTTCGTTCTCTATGTGATCGGTAGAGACCTTCCCAATTATGTTCGTCTGGGAATTTCCCTGCCGCCTCGCAATTACCTCACCGTGGTTTGAGATGTGTCACATCTGCGTTTGCAATTGTCTTGCATATCTTTTCAAATTCTTCGCAACACGTCCGTTAACACGTGACATTTTCGCACTTCATATTCTAAAAAAAAGAAAAACATTAAATTTTATCAAGCGTATGTGTAAAAACAAACGAAGTTGCGCAACACGTTGATGCGCGATTACGAAATGTTATCGCTAATTGGGCGCCATTTTAGATCATTATTTCAAGACTGAACTATTATCAGCGCGTTGATAAATTGTTTGTTATTCGCACCAGTACCCAAATGCGTTGTCGCGCAGGGGATTTTGATGAAGTTACACTTGAATGTGTGTTTTTTCTATCAATCATCTTTCGATTAAAATTCCATCGGTAGACGGATCGTCGCGCGAACGCGTTTTAGCGTTAAAAAAAAAAAATAGATGATTAATACCTCAGTAAAGAAAATTTTTCCGGTCGGTAAATATCGTTCCGTTACGTATCAGTCGCTTTAAGATTACGGACAACGAGAGAATGTTTCCGCGGAAAATAATAGACGAAGGTTTTACGAGTTCTCCTCGTTCGAGGACGCCGCGATGATGTCATTTCCGCGCGCACAGACACGCACTTGTCGTATGTACACAAATTTCGCACACACACACACTTGATACATGACACAACGTCGCCTCGTAAACGAACCACGCTGCATCAATATCTCCCCCAACTGGCATAATGCTGTGAAATAAAATCAGACAAGTTTTTTTTTTTTTTAGTAACCATACAACACTACGAGATGATTCAGCGCGATCGATCTCAAATGCGTACATCTCTAAACATGTTGGTTACATTTTCCAGCTTTTTTTTACACGCGTCTTCTGTAAAAACCGCGCGTCGATCGCTATCTGCGAATCGAGGACATGAATTACTATGATTAAATCGATCGAAACGTTTGATTTTAAAGACCGTCTTACGTTTCACTTACGTATCGAGGTAAATTATAATAGCAGGCCGCTCTTCGAGATCAATCATCGACCATGTGGCGCAAGCGATGCGTATAAATACGCGTACGTGCGCGCGCGCGAGTTTGCTTGCTATTATGCTTCAAGGACGATTTCCAGATATCTGAAAACGATCTGGTGTTGGTTAACTCTCCGGCCGGCACGGTATTTCTATTTTTTGAAAATTATTAAGCAACAATGTTAAACGCATGTTTGGCAACAACACGGTTTATAATAATAAAGTTTTCGAGATTTTACATCTCTCCGAAGATTTACACACACAAGTCAGACTTTGAATAAACGTTTAAGAATTTATACGTAATGGAACAGTTGGTGGAACACGAATTGACGTTCCCAGAACTTGTCGTACTTTTTTCTAGAAATTCAACAAAAAAAAAAAAAAAAAAAAAAAAAAAAAAAAAAAAAAAAAAAAAAACAGAATGTGATAAAAGCCCAACTAAACATTGCAATTTTTAACAACACGGTATGTTCTTGTTGCAGCTATGCGGTCTGGCCATTCTGATACTGGGTGTGATAGTGCAATTGCAATATGTGAAATACGCCAGTGGCAAAATAGAAGAGATCGACTTGAATGTGCCGTCGATAACTCTGATCGTTGTCGGCAGTATCATATTCATCATCGCTTTCTTCGGATGCTGCGGAGCAATTCGCGAGAGCCACTGCATGGTCGTCACGGTAAAACGAACGTTCTAGTTTCACAAAATGATTTATCCTTAGAATTTATCTTAATTTCTAATTTTTAAGATATATTGCCTAAATACATCCGACAGTTTGTCTGAAAAAGAATTTCAATCGACTGATACACTTCTTCTGCGCAGTTTGCATCATTGCTTTTGACGATTTTGATCGTGCAAGTGGCCATCGCAATCTACACGTTTGTCGAAATGAAAAATTCCGAGGAACTCAACGTCGAGGCGACATACAGGAAAGAAGTCTTCGATCGTTACACGAGGTCAAACGAGGATAAGGAGCTCGTAGATATGATACAGAATCAAGTACGCGTTTTCTTTCTTACTTTCTTTCTTTCTTTCTCTCTCTCTCTCTCTCTCTCTCTCTCTCTCTCTCTCTCTCTCATGAAATAGTTGTTTTGTATATATTAATGCGTTTTTAATGCACATATTAATCAAATAATTGTTCATATCTTCGACCAAGTTATATTCTATGTTGTATACATATATGTAAAAATATATGTATTAAATCTTAAAATAAAAAAACAACAATACTGTGACAAATACTTGAATAAGCACAAAAAAATTGTATACATATATAACAAATGTTTGCGAAGTATTTAAGCGGATTATAATATTTTGCCACTTAAACTTTTTACAGTTGGAATGTTGCGGCGTCTTGTCCTCTAACGATTTCAAAGATATAGGAGTGGAATACGTCCCAGGAAGTTGCTGCAATAAAGATGCAAAAACTGCACGATGCTTTCCGGACGAGGTGTTCAAACAGGGTTGCGCACCTGCGATACAACAGTTCCTGAAATCTGGGCTTGCAATATTAGGTGGCATCGCTCTGGGTATTGCTGCTATCGAGGTAAGTAAAAGCTGTCTCTCAAGAATTAAGTACGCACTTTGAGAATCGAAAAGGACAATAATTACAGAAGGGGGGGAAACCAAAATGTATATTCAATTATTCGCGAACGCGCGCTCGCGAATATATAAAATATATTTTGCTTAAATATGTTCACAGAATCGTATAAATTTGTGCTCTTTTAATTTTTATTTGTTAGATACGTTAACGCGAACATTTTAATACGTGTGTGTACTTTTGTTTTTCTTCAGCTGATCGGTATTATTTTCGCACTGTGTCTGGCGAACTCCATCAGAAACGCCGAACGCAGAGGTTACAGTGTGTAAAAGAAGAAAACAGTTTGGGAGAAGCGCTGTCTCACGTGGGAAATTTCCAAAACAACGCATCACAGTATCCTAACGATATATATCGATATATCGATACCGTCACAATATCTTTTTGTCTGCAAAATATGGTGAGCTACTTACAAAAGAAATTAAAAAGATTTTGTTTTAAGCGCTAAAAAAAAAGAACACAAATGTCTTTCCTATGTCTTTGTTTCGAGTTTTCTTTTGTATCAGCAATCGTGCGTGACTAAAGTATAAAGAAATTTATAGTAATGATTGTTTTGTTTGTTTTCCTATGTTTGATAAGAGACTCAAGTGTGGGCTTCGATTTACACTGCAAAAGAAGTGTGTGAATTCGCACAAAGAATATATGTAAATATTGCGCGATCAATAACGAAAATTTAGAAAAATATCACGTGTAAATATTTCAAATTTACACGTGTTACGATTTTCGTAAATTTCCGTTATTAACAACGAAACACAATAATTGTGTTTGCAGTGTGTAACAATGAAATTTCTGTTCGCAATCGCTGTAGCCCTCGACTACATCCTTTGGTTATTTTTTGTTTGTTTTATAAACTTTTGTACACGATTATACAAATTTTGATACGTGGTATCTTTTTAACGTTGCTTTCTTTTGTACAAAAGTATTCTTTAAAAAAAGGAGTTCGACAATACGAGAGAGAAAAGAATGTAATTTACGTAATTTGGTAAAATGCGTCACTATTTTGTACGATCGCTTTGAAAAATGCGAGATTTAATTGAAAACGATTGAAAAAAAACTTGCTTCACATACCTCAGGGAAACAGGAAAGAAACATAGTGATACAAGCAGAGTTTACAGAAAAAGGTAATGCTAAGAAAATTATTTTCATATAAAATGATTTACACGATCGTACCTGTGGCGAGAACAGCTTTAATTATCGCCGTTAAAACGAATAGATATATATTGTGTACACAGAGAACTTCTCTGTCTATATATGTATATGTTTATATAAAATTTACTTTGTACAACACAGCATATATATTGTAAATGTGGATATTAAATGTACACGCGCGCGCATTTTGTAACAAAACTACACAACTACAAATATATATAGTATATATTATATATATACACATATATGTATATATATATCTTATATATATATATTATATATATCTCATGTATATCTCTTTTTTATGACCGTATCCTTGACAATAAAAACGAACAAACATCCGGTTGTATTGATTTATATTCCGCAATAACGACGCGGCAATAGCATAAAGACAAAAAGCTATGCTCGCAAACAAAGAGTGTAAGCGAACGTTGAAACAAAAACGTTTTATCTTATCATTTATTTTAAAATCAAGATTGCTATATCAATAATAATTTTCCGTGCGTCACTTTAAGATTATTTCTTTTCACTTTTACGATGTAATGTTCACATACTCGTATAAATAAATATTGCTGTTGCTGCCAAGTTATGGCTTTGTATCTTCGAAATGAAAAATAAAACGCAAACAATTAAATTTATCAACTTGTTTTTCACACAAATACACACGCACGCACACACCTAAACTATTTTTATGCAAGATATAAACGACTTACCTCTGTTGCGTAGCACAGCAGGTGTAAAAATACATTTCTCGTACAACAAAGTTTCTTCCGATATGAAGTTAACTGAAGTAGTAAATGTGATATGTTACAAAAAATGATTTTTTTTCGTTTTACGTTTGATTATATATATGTATATACTTATATGCATGTATACATATGTATATATATATAAATATATATAATCATTATTTATTAAGTTCAAGAGAGAATAACTTACATATCTGCGTCGAACTATAATACACTCTATTTACATTGTCGTAGGTTTCAGCGAGTTGTCTCAACGTTTGTGTAATTTTCGTTTCGATCTCGCTGCTGTCATCCAAAATACAAGAGCGGCGGAGACGTGTTCTCTCCGTCTCCTCCTTCTTTTTCTTCCGCAGAAACTTATAAACATCTTAAAGCTACGATCAGTAGTCTATCATTTTTCAGGCTGCAGGACGAAAAAGTATTTTTATTGGAAAAAAACACAAAGGTTTGTTTTCCTCTGCAACACATCAGTTTACAACACATGTATACTGCTCTATTGTTAAATTAAAAAAAAAAAAAAAAAAACTCAAATAAATTAACTCTCGATTAAAATTATAACATAACAAGCAAATCGCGCGTGCTAAAACGGCTGTATTCAGGGAGGCTTCGGTTTTTAGCACTAATTAAATCCCGCGCACACACCATGCCAAAATGTAAAATTCGGGAAAATACTGTTCTTCTCATTAAGTGTAATTATTAAGAAGATTGTTTTCTTTTTGCTTTCGTTACACCTTTTGTTTTACTAAATCCAACTAATGGTTTTTGTTTTATATAATAAATAATAACAGTAATATTTATTTCGTAATTTTATCCTACCACCGTGACCACTTATATAGGATATATCAGTTAATTGTATCACAAGGACCATAATACATAATACATGTGTGTACATAATTGAAAATATACAGTTCCTACAGCTAATCCCAAATGGGACGTTTTTTTTCACGACGTTACCTGTGAGAAGAGGAGAAAAAAATTTGGGTCTAAAAAGTTGTTGCAAAAAATCTCGCAAGATCTCTCTTTTGTTTTCAAGACTTACACAGATTGATTTCGTCGACGTGTTTCTTTCTCTTCATTCACGCGAAACACGATCCATCATCGGTGTATAGAGGATTTGACAAACACGATCCGAGGCCCGAGAGATTGCGACAGTTAATTCACTTCGTTAGTCGGTTGTCTCACTTGCTTGACTAGAAACATCAGCAATGCGAGCGCGACGAACACCTTTCGAAGAGGAAGGATTTCGTCCCTGCCTATCCTCGAGAGCGTATTGAGAACCTCGTTAATTTTAACGTCGTACATGCGGTATTACAACAGTATTTTTTGTTTTTCTACGTGTAAAATATCTCGATCTCTCTATCAGCTTACCTAGGATTACATATAGCTAGTGATATTAACGCTTGTAAATCGACCACAAACGCTCGTTTTTTTTTTTACCTACATACAACAACCAACGCGCTCGCGCCTTGTGGAACGCGAACGAATTTCTCACAAATAAACACTGAGGCGCCTTTTCCGTTTGCTCGATCGTACAAAAGGTCGCGAAGTCGTTCGTTATTCCGTTGATTTTTGCACACACGAATTATTATACTTACCCTTTATCTCTTGTTTACTCTTTCACGTACACAAACATACACACACACACACACACACACAACTAACAATCTATGTTACAAAGTTCGGAAACGAAATGTACAGTCTCGGCCGTTTCTTGTTCCGGAAAAAAGACAGAGAAAAAATAGGTTTCGCGTCAAAGTATAAACCGAATTATTGATTGACAATTTCCGCGACGACGTCTCTCTCGTTGACAAATTGACATTGATGAGAAAGAGAGTACAAAATGTTTTTAACACGTTTCCATAGAAATTCGACAAATATCTCTTTTTAGCCTCACACGCGATAAGACGCAATTACCACTTGTGTAGACTGGGCTTTACAGAATGAAGAGGCTACTTCTACGTTTTCAGACGTGGTCGATTTGTGTGTTCGTCGTAAGTAAGCTAATTTTTGTTTAGTGTCACGGATCAACTACAGTTTATATGTCTCTTACAGCTAAATAATTTTCGATCCGCACGTATTTATTTATTTAGTAAATCGTTTGGCGCACCGAAATATACACATGCAGCGCGAGTCAAAAAAAAAATGTACAACTTCCGCGTCGGCTCTCGTTTATTATTGGTCGCGTTCAGCAGATACAACTGTTGTACAACTGTTGGGTGAGTGTCTGCTGAACGCACTCTGCTCAGTCACCGCTACTCAACATGTTTAGGGAGCGGACGCCATTTTTTCCATCGAAGTTTTTCTCTGCTACCTAAGCGTAACATGTTGTAAAAGAATATGGC